GAACACTGGCTTCCAGAGGACCCAGCATGGCGGCTAATAACCATCTGTAACACCAATGCCCTCGTCTGGTCTCTGTCGGTTTGGATGCACATGCTGTACTTGTATAGGTATAAGCAAAACACTCATACACATAAATATATAAATTAATTTATAAAACTTTAAAAAATGACCTAATTGAGGGAACTGTATATCCACCAACTTTTTATCCCACCAAATGAAGGACTAGAGAGAAGAAACAAAACCCATTCTAACCCTGACATCACCATTACTTCACGAAAGGAGGGACAATCTTTAATGCCAGGAGCACAAAGGGTAAAGTCTCAGAGTGAGGAATGATCTTTTTATTTATTTATATTTTTTGAGTCAGTGTCTTATATAGCCCAGGCTGGCCTTGAACTCCTGATCTTCCTGCCTCCACCTCCCAAGGGCTAGGTTTGCTTTCATTTAACGTCACATCAGGCAAACACAATCCTTTAAATTTGAACTCATGGGGGATGGAGAGATGGCTCAGTGTTATGAGTGCTTGCTGCTCCGCCAGAGGACCTGGGTTTGGTTTCCAGCAATCACCTGTAACTCCAGTTCTTGGGGATCTAACACCCACTTCTGGCCTCTTCTACATACATAGCATACCCACACACATACACATAAATGAAAATAAATCATATTTTAGAAATATATAAACTGGTTCATGGAGCTGAATAAAAGGCTCACCATGTTATCCTTTTCATCTGGTCCAGGAAAATTCTAGTCACCATGGTGACTAGATGACTTGTGGTAATGACCAACATTAACGTCCCACGCAAAGCATGACCCAACACAGTCTCCAGGGCAGAGACTAATTGGCAATTTCTAAAGGCATCTTTTGAACCAGATATGATGGAGCACACCTGTAGCCCAGGACTCAGGAGGCAGAGGCAGAAGGATCTCAAGTTTGAGGCCAACCTGGGATACTTACATATGAGTTCAAGGTAAAACCTGGACAACATAAGGTCTTTAGAGAAAGAAATAAAGGCATCTCTCAACACTGTGGACAGACACCTAACCTACAAAACTTCCTGGTCTCCCTTTTCGTCTCTCCCCTCATACTGTGTATCTGCCCCCATTTTTTATCCTCCAAACTCCCTGAACGATAATTCCTTTTTGCTGTGGATTCTATATGGGTTTAGTGTGTCTCCCAAAGGCTCACGTGCTGGAAGTTTGGTCCCCAGTATGATAGTGTGGATCGGACATGCGACCTTTAAGAGGTAGAGCCCGGTGGAAGCTGGTTAGGTCACTGGGGAGACACCCTTGGAAGGGCTTAATGCAGTCCTATTAGCTGTCAAAGGAGAGTTATTATTATAAAGAAGTAAAACTGCCCCTTCCCAGTATCTCTGGTTTCCTGTCTCTGCCTGTCATACACACAGGGGACCCTTCCCAGAACTGGTGCCATGCTGTTTGGACTTTGAGGCCTATAAAACAGAACTAAATAAATCTCTTTTCCTCATAAGTTGTCCAGCCTTTTTTCATAGAGGAAAACAGACTAAGACACCTCACTCCAGTCCTCCAGTCTTTCTCTAGAGGTCACAATGATACAAACCAGCCAGGCACACTTGTGAGCACACATTCCATCTAAAGGGGACAGCTGATATTCCTCCACAGCAGATTCTGTCCTGTTCCTCCCAGACCCTCCAGCAGCCTGCTGTGTTATGGAGAGACAGCATTCTCAGCAGGCAGGCCTTGCCCCAGCACCAAGAGCTACCTTGTCAGTGGTCACTCTCCTCCTGGGTAACCCACATGCAACATGGAATCTACTTTTAAGAGCAGCCCTGATGGGACCCTGTAGTTGCCAGCAAGCCTGAAGCTATTCAAGGCTGCTGTCAGGCCTTCCTTGGACTCAGAGCCTTCCTTCACTGTCCTCGATTCCTTCCCTGCCTTCCCCAGATCCAGATCCCAATGGCAACTCTCCAGTCAGCATCAGGAACACTAGGCACTGAATCAGAATCTGCTTATTGTAGGGACCTGAGCTCCACCATCAGCTCCACAGTCCTGCAGAGCCTTGGGTAACCCTTCTCCAACTCCCTTTCTGCTTGTGGGATTTCTCATACACACCTTTGCTGGGAAACTCTCTGGATTGGTGTGTGTGTGTGTGTGTGTGTGTGTGTGTGTGTGTGTGTACCAGAGAACAGCCTTGGGTGTCATTCCTCAGGTGCTGTCCAGTTCTTTTTTTTGCGACAAGATCTCTCACTGGCCTGGGGCTCACCTGTTTGCCTGATTAGACTAGGTAAGCTGACCATCAAACCCCAGAGATCTGCCTGTCTCTATCTCCTCAGCACTGGGATTACAAACACATACCACCATACCTGGCTTTCTTCTTGTGTGGGTTCTGGAGATGGAACTCAGGTCTTTGTGCTTGCAAGGCAAATATTTTACTGATTGAGACATCCCCCTAGACTGTTTGAGAAGGTCTCAAGTAGTCCAAGCTGGCCTCAAACAGGCTGTGTAGCTAAAGATAGCCTTGAACTCCTGATCGTCCTGCCTCTACCTCTTGAGTGCTGGGATCACAGGCAGGGGTAAACCACCATGCATGTTTTAACTTTCCCATTTTGATATGCCAATTTGAGAGCAAGGAATTTAGAATATTTTTTCTCTTTTAATGAAGAAGACTGACCTTTGGAAACCACCATCTAGCCACTGGCCCCAAGGCTCTAAGCAGCCACACTTTTGTTCTGGGTGGCCCCCAACTCTCTTCTTCCCTGAGGCACATAGCCTTACAGCACATAGTTGGAAAGCTGCAGGACTGTATGATTTAAGGGGGAAATAAAAATTCACATTTAGTAGCTCCAAAATATAATCCTCATTGAATACACAATGGAGGTGGTGGCGGGGAGCTGGGGGGAGGTGCTATTCCCGGCTTTGAGGCTGGTGACAGTTTCTCAGGCAACCCAGACCTGCACTGGGTTTGTGCCCCAAAGCTCAACCAAGCCCAGCTGCCTGAGAGCAGGTGGCCAGGATGGTCAGGAGGGGGCGTTGTCTTGGCTCGCATTTTTTAACTCTTTTTAAAAATTTTATTTATTATTTTTATTTTATGTGTATGTGTGTATTGCCTGTGTGTAGGTAAGCGCACCCGTGTAATGCAATGCCTGTGGAGGTCAGGAGAGGCTATCAGATCCCCTGGGACTGGAGTTACGGACAGTTATTAGCTGCCATGTGGGTGTGGGATTCGAACCTGGGTCTTCTGCAAGAACAACCATTGTTCTAAACTGCTGAGCCATCTCTCCAGCCCCTCGAATTCTTAATTCTACACACTTCACCCTCTAGCTCCCAGGACAAACAATCATGGAACAGAAACAAGCCCAGAGTGATTGGATACTGCTACTGCCGCCAAGTTCTCAAAGGCAGAGACCCTCCAGTAAGAGAGCAAAGTACAAACAGCCCACAGTAGTCCACTCCAGAGAGGAAACAGGTCTTTTGCCCAGTGGCCTGGCCAGGAATGTGACCAGCTCTGTACAGAGCTCAGAAGTCCCAGGTTCCTCCAGCTTATCCCAGGGAGGGGTAGGACTCCCCAGAAGAGCCTCCTCCCCAAAGTTTTATAATATACGGCTTAGTGTTGTTTTTATCTTGGAGTCTTGAGTGGCACTGGCTTTTCAACACTGGAGACCTCAGAACTGAGGATGAAGCCTAGTTGATAGAGGGCTTGCCTAGCATGCATAAAGCCCTCAATTCCTAGCACCCCATAAACTGGGCTAAGTGGCACATACCTGTAATCCCAGCATTTGGGAGGTAGAGGCAGGAGGATCAGAAGTTCAGGTCATAGCAAGTTCAAAGTCAGTCTGGGTTACATGAGACCCTGTCAAAATAAAACAAAATTAAAAATTGGAAAAGGAGGGGAGGGAGGGAGAAAGAGAGGTTTGAACCCTATTTGTCTAAGCTCAACTTCTAATCTTTTTTTTTTTTTTTTTGGGTCATTTTGAGATGGGGTTTTCCTGTAGCCCCAGCTGACCTGGAACTCACTATATAGACCAGGCTGGCCTTGAATTCACAGAGATCTGCCTGCCTTTACCCCCAAGTGCTGGGATTAAAAGCATGTGCCACCACATCCAGCCTTGAAACTTCTAATTTTACACCCAAGGAAACTGAGGCTTAAGATGACAAATGAGCAGAATCAATAGAAGTCAGTAAGTCAGTAAGTCAGGGCAGAGGCGGGGTCCCAGAACCCAGCCCTCTCAGCTACCTCTCATCATTCACTGTCACTCCCATAAAACACACCCTTATATCCCCTGGATATTTCTGAACACCCCCACTAAGACTTGCTTTTCAATTAGATTAAGTTTCCTGGGGGCTACCGGCCTGGGCTGAGAGTCACTCTCCCAAATGCCAACACGAATCACTTGGTAGGGCAGTTCCTGCTTGGGCAGAATGTAAACACCATGGTCGCATTCCCTCCATGCCACCCCCACCCCGGCTGTGCCTCACTCCCTAAGATCTCTCTTTGCTCCCCAGTGGGTCCTAAATCTCTCTAGAGACAAAGCCCAGCCATTTAAGCAGGGGGTGGAAAGAGGGCGGGAGAAAAAGCTCAACCTCAGAGCAGGCAGCACCTCTGCCAAGGCATGCGCCTGCCCTGCAGGGAGGGGCTGGGAGCAGCAGCCCAGGGCTGGCAGTGCTGGGAGTGTTAGCCGGGCATGCACTACAAAGCCTGGAGCCACCACCTGCTACATACACAGTTGGCTTGTGGGACCCACAGACTCCTGCTGCGCACACCTCTCATCTGGAATGTTCCTTGAATAGCATTGAGAGATCTGGGTTCAAGTTCTGGCTTGTCACCAATTTCCTGAGCGCCCTTGTCCAGATGTGTCCCCTCTTGGACTCTCAAACTTCTGTCTCTGCAGAGAAGGCGATGAGCTGACATGTGATAAGGATGTCTCCTGCTCAGAAACTGTGCTTTGAATTCTAGATCTCCACCTGATGTTTGAGAGGTCAGACTGGGACTCGACTAGTGAGAGATCGGACTGGGATTTGACTAGGCTTTGTGCTCAGAGTGACTCATTTCTGTTGAGTCCTAGGCGTGGTCTCCTGACTACACGTGCCTGGTTTTGTATCTTCCTCACCTAATATATCTACATGTCAAAGAGGATTTCTCTTCTGTAGCAATCCTGGGGGAGCTGCACAGCCAGGTCCTGTGTCCCAGCCCCAGAAACAGCCATGGGAGCCCGTGTCCTTGCAACTGACACCAACATCTCGTCTGGCCTTGAGAGCAACACCACGGGCATTACAGCCTTCTCCATGCCGGCCTGGCAGCTGGCACTGTGGGCCACAGTGTACCTGGCGCTGGTGGTGGTGGCTGTGACAGGCAACGCCACAGTTATCTGGATCATCCTGGCCCATGAGAGGATGCGCACAGTCACCAACTACTTCATCATCAACTTGGCTTTGGCTGACCTCTGCATGGCTGCCTTCAACACTGCCTTCAACTTCGTCTATGCCAGCCACAACATCTGGTACTTTGGCCGTGCCTTTTGCTACTTCCAGAACCTCTTCCCCATCACAGCCATGTTCGTCAGCATCTACTCCATGACGGCCATTGCTGCTGACAGGCAAGAGGGAGCAGCAGGGAAGGGGGTGGGTGTCTCACTTTGCTAAGGCTCAGGCAGAGTGGAGACTGGCCTGGGAGGGTCCCATAGCGAGGTGGGGGACAGGCCAGGGAATTGCCTCCCAGTCTTGATCTTGATTCAGAGCTGTGGAGCTGGAAGACAGGGGAATGTGGGGCTAAAATAGGGAGAGTTGAAGTTAGGCATGAGAACGACTTTGCCCTTGAAGGTTGCCTAACGCTGTCTGGGAAGATGCTCCGGGTGACTTCTAAAGTGCACTTCTCTGTGTCTTGCTATCTTTCTAGAACTCTAAGGAAATTACTCTTATTGATTTTGTATGTTGGAAATACAAGGTGTGTTGTGTGAGGCCAGAATGCTGCATCTGCTTAGAACAGGCCTATTTTTCTGATGCTGCTTATGTGGGTTGCTGACTGCGACATTCGGAGGGGTGAGCCTAGGATCAGGGTGGAGGAAGTTGCATCAGGCCCACCAGGGACTAGTAGGACTCAGATGAAGGAGGATTTGAGGGATCAGGGAGCCACTGACAGCCAATAGAATGGGGTGAGGGGAAGACACATTAGTACAGGGCAGGCAGGGCCAGGGCTCTGGGACCTTCAGGCACATAGAGTTCTCATGGTGCTGGTTGGATAGATGTGAATCTCTCCATCTTCCTTCACTGGCCCCACCTCAACTTTCCCAGTAATCATCACACACAGCCTCTCACACTGCACTATAAATGTTTTAATACGGAGTTTTCTGGAGATTTCCTTTGAGACAATGTCTTCTACTCACTAACAATGAGAAGAGTGTAGTTTAGTTTGTAGACTGCTTGCTGAGCATTCATGAAGCACTATGTTGATCCTCAGCACTGATTTGACAGAGTATGGTGGTGCGTGCCTCTAATCCCCACTCTCAAGAGGTGAAGGCAGGAGGATCAAGGAGTTCAATATCATCCTAGGCTACATAGCAGTTTGAGGCTAGCCTGGGCTACATAAGGCCCAACTTCTAATTTTATACCCAAGGAAACTGAGATAATCAGGGACATCCAAGGTCAACCATCAAGTCAGAGTCAGAGCAAGGGGCCTGGAACCCTGTGAGCTGCAGGCACAAGGGAAAGTCTTTCAAACTAGGGCTGGCCTCCACCAAACATCCCCTCCTGCTCCCTGTATATTTGAGGATGTCCCTTAAGTGTTTCTTTTCAGTCATGTAGCAAAAGCTGGGAGCTTCTGCGGTGTCAGACACAGTTCCAGGTGCTGGGGTCCGCCGCCAATGGGAAGAAACAACTTCAGAACATTGTCAGAGCTTCCATTTCAGAGGGAGGCTGGGCTGAAGAAGGCAGGGTGGGATCCTGGAGGCTGAGCAGGAGGCTGGTAATGCAGGGACGAGAGTAGGGGCTTGGATCAGGTTGACCAGAGCTGAGACTTAACACTCCTTTAAAGAAATTTTTTGCATTTATTTATTGGGTGTGTGCATGTGGGTACGTGTGTGCATGTGTGTGTCTATGTGTCTGTGTGTGCATGTGTGTTTGCCATGGCATGCATGTGGCAGTCAGAGAAGAACTTATGGGAGTCAGTTCCCTCCTTCCACCATGTGAGTCCTAGGGATGGCATTTAGGTTAGCAGGCTTGGCGGCAAGTGCCTTTATCTGCTGAGCCATCTCACCGGCCCCCTTTCTTCATTTCTTCGTTCAATAAATACCTCAGTGTCTGCTGAGTAGATATCATTCTGGGTATTAGTTGGGGGAACACCCATGTATGTGCCTGCTGTGGTGAGAATTTAAATCCTAAGTCCGGGAACAAATAAACTGTACATTGTATGCGATCATGAGCGCTGTGGACAAATATTAGCTCAAGGAAAGGGATCTTGGGCTGCCAGGATGTATACACTAGAGTAGGGAAGATATAGACTTAAATGGGCGTCAGAGTGGGTCTCGTTGCAAGGGCGGGATCTGAGTAAAGACAGGAGGAAATCGCACAGTCAGACAGAAGGGTTCTAGCAGGGGGCAGTGAACATTCCAGGCAGAAGAAAGACGGCAGTATTTGCTGGACATGAACTTCCTTCCTTCCTTCCTTCCTTCCTTCCTTTCTTCAGAGATCTTTTTTTTTCAAAAAGGGTTTCACTATGTAGCTCAGACTGGGTTCCATCTCACAGAGATCTGCCTGCCCCTCTATCCCCAGTGCTGGGACTAAAGGTGTGCACCACTATGCCCAGCTTCAGGTCACAATTTAACACCCAAGATGCTGTGATGTGAACATCAAGCAGGCAAGGGACACACAAGATCCAAAGCCACGCTATAGTCTACTGTCCCCGCCTCGTTTCAAGGCTTGGGTTCATCCCAGAGAGGAAGGGCCAGGCATCATCCAGGACTAAAACAATTTTGGTGAATTTAAAGGTGGTAAATGCACATTCATATGCAGACACACCACTTCCTTCACACAAGCCAAGTGTAGGAATGACTAGTATCATTTCATAGAGGCAAAATGGAGGTCCAAAGAGCTAATAGGGCTGTTTGTTTATGACCTTGTTGCCAGAAAGCAGTGGAGACAGGATTCAATCCACATCAGTCTGATTCCAAAGTCCTGAGACCTGTCCCTCCACTAACAAGGTCAGTGATCTGTTCTTCTCACCCAGACTTATTTTATATTTTGCTAACTGTGCTTCAGTATGATTGATAGTCTTTGTAATCCCATTTATTATAATTTCTTTATATTAAAAGTTTTATTCTGGGCCTGGGGTGAAGGCTCCATCAGTAAAATGCTTGCGGTGCAAGTATGAAGACCTGAGCTCCATCCCTAGAATCAATGTGAAAAAACCAGGCATGGTGGCCCACGTTTGTAATCCCTGTGCAAGAGGAAGCTTGAAACAGGAGGCTTCCTGGGGCTTGCTGGCTAGTCAGCCTAGCCAAATTGGTGATTTCCAGGCCAGTGACAGACCTTGTCTCAAAAAATAAGGTGGACAGTGTCCTAAGGGACAATACCTGAGGTTAATCTCTGATCTCCACACACCTGCACATATACCTGCATACACAGGCACATGCATGCATTCACACACACACACACACACACACACACAGAGACATACAAACCATATCTGTCTGTCATGGTGGTGCATGTCTGTGATCCCAGCACTTGAGAGTTTGAAGTCGGCATGGTCTACATAGTGAGTTCCAGGCCAGCCAAGACTACATAGTGAGACTTTATCTCAAAAACAGACATATAGGGGCTAAAGAGATGGCTCAGTGGTTAAGAGCACTGGCTGTTCTTGCAGAAGACCCAGGTTCAAATCCCAGCACCCACATGGTGGCTAACAATGGTCTGTAACTGCAGCTCCAGGGGATCTGACGCCCTCTTCTGTCTTCCCTGGGCTCTGCACATGGGTGCACTTACATACATGCACACATAACACTCATACACATAAAATAAATGTAAAAACACCCCAAAAAACATGGTTTCCAATCTGGTCTCACCTTATTGCTCTGCTGAGAGGAAACCAAAGCCCCAGGTCAGACTGTTGTTGGGAGAGTGGGGCTTTGTCCTTGGTGAATGATGCCTTTCAGTCCTTTGACCTTCAAAAAGCAAGTAGCTGGCCTTCTTTAATTGGGCCCTAGGCCCGTGAGGCTTGAGTCCTTAGTAGGTCCAGGGCACTCCTACAGTGGCCATGTGGATCCTGGGGTAGAAGAAGCAGAGAAAACCAGGGACAGACAGCTGGGACCAACCAGGGTTGCCTCTTCTAAGCTGGTGGTCCTCTGCTTCCCCTTGTTCATGTCTCCTGATGTGGAAAATGGAGATGAAAATCACCACCTAAGACCGCTGCATTGTAACCTCCTCCCACCCCAGGAGGGCATCAGCTGAGCCCGGTCCAGCCAACTTCACCAAGAAGGTGGTATGTGGCTTGGGCTTCACTGCATACAGAGAGGAAGGCGGAGCTCCAGGAGGAGAGGAGAGGAAAGCCCACAGAGGGCCGTGCAGGTTATTCCAGGGAAAGGTCGAGAAGAAGCTGCACAGTGCATTAGTCACGGGCAGCATTTAAAGATTTAGGCCTGTGCTATCCTAGGTGTTCCAGTTCGGTTTATATAAGGAGCTCAGTTGGTAGAGTGCTCACCTAGCATGCATAAAGCCCTGGGTTCGAGGCCCAGTACTGCATAAACCAGGCATGAGAATATGTGCCTGAAATTCCCATGCACAAGAGGTGTAGGCCAGAAGACCAGAAGTTCAAAGTCGTTCTTGGCTACATAGGAAGCTCGAGGTCAGCCTGAGCTACATGACAATTTGTCTCAAAGGAAAATAAAATAGAATAAACTCAAATCTTTCAGTCTTAGCCACGCTGTCTATGCTCCTTGGCCCATGTGTATTGAGTTGTTACTTAACAGGACCCTGCATGTGTTGGACATCGCCACTGCTGCACAAAGCTCTGGAGGACATCACTAGTTTGGGCTTTGTTCAGGAGATTGTCATATTATGTGGAATAGAAGAGGGACAGCCTAGAGGCTGAGGGTGCAGATGCTCAGTTAGAGCGGAGCCTCAGGCTAATGTTAGACACTCTGTCCCACTGCAAGTTGGATCACAGTGTGGTTGCTCGGCTACCTGTGACGGTCCAGGGATCTGTCAAGGCCCAGAGGGAGGCAGTGAGTTGGGTGCTTGGGCTAGATTCTAGGGCTGGAAGCAATCACCAGTCCCTCACTCCACCCCAGTTCTCTGAAGATTGGGTGGGACTTCATCATCAGCACACAGTGGTATGGAGAAGGGTTGGAGGGTATGGGCCTGGGCAGGGAAAAGGAGGAGGGGAAGGTTTGCTGTGAGAATGCCCGCTGCTCACACTGTGCCCTGCCCACAGGTACATGGCCATCGTCCATCCCTTTCAGCCACGGCTGTCAGCTCCTGGCACCAAGGCAGTTATCGCTGGCATCTGGCTGGTTGCCCTGGCTCTTGCCTTCCCCCAGTGCTTCTACTCCACCATCACTGTGGACCAAGGAGCCACCAAGTGTGTGGTAGCCTGGCCTAAGGACAGCGGGGGCAAGATGCTCCTCTTGTAAGCCCCCTTGGGGATAAGGGTGGGGCACATGTACTTGCATGTTGACTCATGTCTTTGTGTGACTGACGATGTGTACAGGCCTCTGGGAGCACATATGTGACTTTGTGAGTGCAGTTTTATTCTGAGCCTCCACAAGTAACAGTGAGGAGCTGGGGACATGGCTCAGTTGGTAGCATGCTTGCCTAGCTTGCAGAAACCCCGAGTTTGATCCCTAGCACTACATAAACCAGGTGTGGTGGTGCACATGTACAATCCCAGCACCCAGGGTGTAGAGGCAGAAATTCCAAGTTATCTTCCTCTACATAGCATGTTCAGAGTCGGCCTGGGATTCATAAGATCCTGATACAAAACAAAACAACAAAAGTTAACAGCAAGGCCATACCCCAACAAACCTACTGTAAGTGGAAAATATCCCCTGTAGAATGTGGGTAATCTCAAGACTGTAGCCTAGTGGGAGCCACAGTGCACTGCTACCGCCTTGAGAGAAGCTCAAGGAAAAAGGTACAGAATCAAGGTGTGGCTGCTGCTGAACATTTGTTGCTTTTCTGTCTCCAGAAAGTTAAGTCATTGAGTCAAACCATCATAAGTTGGGGACTGTCTGTACTAAAAACAATGCCAAGTGCCAGGCCCATTCTAAGTACTTATATTGACCCTTAAATTTCTTTATTTATTTTTATTTTTTAGGTGTATGAGTGTTTTGCCTGCATGTACCTAAGTGTACCATATGCATGCTGTACCTACAGAGGCCAGAAAAGGGTGTTGGAGCCCCTGGAACTGGAGTTACAGATGGTTATTAGCCACCATGTGGATGCTGGGAACTGAACATGGATCCTCTGCAAGAGCAGCCAGTGCTCTTAACCACTGAGCCTTCTTTCCTAAAGGTTTGTTTTTATTGACACTTTTAATTTTCTTAAAGTTATAGGACAAGTATTATTGTTATTTTTATTTACTTTGGTAGTCTAAAAAATGTGTGTGTGTGTGTGTGTGCACGCACACCACATGTGTGTGGGTGCCCTCCGAGGCCAGAAGAGGGCATCGGACCCCCTGGAGCTGGAATCACAAGCAGTTGTGAACTGCCCCATGTGGGTGCTAGGAACCTCTGGAAGAGTAGCAAGTGCTCTTAAACCACTGAAACATCACTCAAGGTTTGGTGGGCTCTTTGTTGTTTGTTTAATTTTAAGACAGGGTGCTGGCTTTGGTGTCACCCACTGACTTTATGTGGTACTGGAGATGGAACCAAGGGCCTTGTGCATACTAGACAAGCACTATACCAACTAAGCTACACCCCAAGGCCCCTTATTTTGGTTTTGAGACAGTCAAGTAGTCCCCAGCTGGCCTGGAACTCTGATCTTCTACCTCCATCTCCCAAGTGCTGTGATTACAGGTCACCACCACCACACCCCATAAATGTGTCATTATTCCATTTGGGGGGGCAGAGGAGAAACCATATGGCATGATGTGCCCCAGACGATACAGTAGGGGTGGTGAAGCAGGGACCCAACTGCTGGCAGCCTGCCTCAGAGCCCAATCTGACCGCCTCAGCAAGGCTGAACGTGAGCTGAATAAGCACTGTGTGTGTGCCTGTGTCTGTATGTGTTAACAGATTGTGTGTGCACGTGTGTACAGTATATTGAAAGGTAAATGCCAGACAGTCATGGCATCCTGCCTGCAATCCTGGCACTCAGGAGGTGAAGATGGGGGAGCACCTGGCTAGCTAGACCAGCCACATCAGTGAGCTCTGGGTTCAAGTGAGAGATTCTGCTGCAATACATTAGGTGGAGAGCAACTGAGGAAGACACCTGGATGTCACATACATGTGCACCCCCTTACATTCAAACACACATGCATGCATACCCTTCACGCATGCATACCACACATATACATACAAAAAAAGGGGGGCGGAGAAAGAAAGATAAAGGGTGGATAGGGCCTCAGATTCATTCCTGGTTGCTCCAAGGGCCCCTGGGTAGGCCTGCCCAGGAGTCAGTCTGAAGCTGTGGTGTATCCAGGAGACTGCAGCGTCCTTAGAAATGGAGCCAGTGATATGTGTCCCAAAGGAAACAAAAAGCATCAGTACAACCTGGGCATTCTCCCTGGGACTGGGTAGGTGCAGTGGCGTGTGGGCCATGTGCTCAAAGGCATTTGCTGACACAGCCATGTTCCCAAGAACATGGGAACAGAGGCACGAAGCAGAGGACACAGTGGCTGTGCAGTGTGGAACTCTCCCCTGCCCATTTCTGGATAGGGTTGATGTTACAGGGTGGCTTCTATCCATATAATATCCTATATAATCTAGTTAATATGTATATATCATATATACGTGTATGTTCCTGTACACACTACATACCTCTACACACACATGGTTCTGGGAGAAAACATAAATTGTTAATAGTTTAGGAACTCTAGCTTTCCTGCTTAATGGTTTTTATTTTTTGAGACAGTATCATGTATCCCAGGCTGGCCTCAGACATGCTATGTAGCCAAGGATGACCTTGAACTCTCTATCCTCCTGCCTCCATCTCCCAGCTGCTGGGATTATAGGCATGTGCCACCACATCAAGTTTATTGTATTTTATGTTTTGTGAAGTTTCCTCATTTGTTTTGCTTTGTTTTGTTTGAGACAGGCACTCCCTACAGCCCCAGCTGGCCTGGAACTCACTATATAGACCAGGCTGGCCTTGAATTCACAGACATTTGCCTGCCTCTACCTCCCAAGTGTGCCATCATGACCAGCTCAAGATTTATTTATTTTTATTTTATGTATATGACAGCTTTGCTTGCATGTATGTCTGTGTACCATGTGCACACACATACACACACACCATGTGCCTGGTGCCCTTAGAAGCCAGAAGCAGCTGTCAAATCCTCTGGAACTAGAGTTACAATGGGTTGCTGGCTACTATGTGAATGTCTGTCTGCCTTTGCCTCCTGAGTGTTGGGACTGTGTGTCACAAAGCCTGGCTAAAGATTTTTTAAACATTTTTTTCACTTTTTAAATAAAATTTTAAAAAAATTGTGTGTAGGGGTATGAGCACATGAGTGCTGGTGCCTGTGGAAGCCAGAGGCTTCAAATCTCCTGGATCTGGAGTCATAGGCGGTTGTGAGCCTCCCGATGTAGGTGCTGGGACTTAGGTCCTCTGGAAGAACAGCACACACTCTTAACCACTGAACTGTCTCTCCAGCCTGAAAGATTATTATTTAAAAGTATTTTTAGCCAGGCGTGGTGGGACATGGCTTTAATCCCAGCACTTGGGAGGCAGAAGCAGGTGGATCTCTGTGAGTTCAAGGCCAGTCTGGTCTACGTAGTGAGTTCCAGGACAGCTGGGGCTAGAGGGAGATCCTGTCTCAAAAAGACCAAAAAAAATTTTTTTGATTTATTATTTTTATGTGTATGAGTGTATTGCCTGCATGTATGTAAATGCACTTGTGTCATGACCACGGATTTCAGAAGATGGCGTCAGATCCTCTGGAACTGTAGTTATGGATGGTTGTTAGCTACCATGTGAGTGCTGGGAATTGAACCCTGGTCCTCTGCAGGAGCAGCCAGTGCTGAGCCATCTCTCCAGCCCCTAAAGATTATTTTTTAAAGTGTGTGTGTGTGCGCGTGCGTGCATGCATGTGTGTGTCTGTGTGTGTGTGCGTGCGTGCATGCGTGTCTGTGCGTGTGTGTGCGTGCGTGTGTGTGCATGCGTGCGTGTGTGTGTGCGTGTGTGTCTGTGCATGTGTGTGTGTGCGTGCGCACGTGTGTGTGTGTGTGTGTGTGTGAGTCTTGTGGCGGTCAGAGGATAGTTTTTGGGAGTGGGTTTTCTTTCACACGTGGGTTCCAGGACTTGGGTTGTCAAGCTTGGCACCCATCATGTTTATATTTTAAACAAACATAAAATGCAGTTTGCTTTCCCTTCTTTCCTTTTTAAGCACTTGACGGTTATAAGGAAGACGGGGCTAATGATGGTGACTTTTGCAGGAAAAGCCCTCTTTGGGTACATATGCTAGCCAGTGTTGTTTTAATTTTTCTTTAAACTGAACCCCAGAGTGGGGCAGCATGGTGGGGTCATGGAATCCAAAGAGGCCGAGTCACGCTGTCACCTGCTGCCTCCCTGGCTCTCTCTCCAGGTACCATCTTCTGGTGTTGGCCCTCATCTACTTCCTTCCTCTGGTGGTGATGTTTGTGGCTTACAGCATCATCGGTCTCACCCTGTGGAAGCGTGCAGTCCCCGGTCATCAGGCGCACGGTGCCAACCTGCGTCACCTTCAGGCCAAGAAGAAGGTTTGAGCCGGGCGCAGATTTGGCAAGCCCTGCCCTGGGGAACCACCTGGGGCCCAAAGCCTGCCCACTAGTGAGGCACCAACCAACACAAGAGCCAAGTCTCTTGCTAGAGTCCTCAAATACGGGAACTATAGGCTTGGGTGATCTGGAGGCTGATCTTAGACCTGTATTTCCCTGTTCTAATGCCAGGCACTTTAGTGGGTGGCTAAGGGAGGTATGCAGACATGGGGATACTATCTTGGTATCCCTCTTACTGGGGAATTGGTACCCCTTTGCCATCTCCAGCTTGCCTTTCAGTTCTCAAGGTGCTGGGCAGAGGCAGTGCAGGAATGGGTATGCCTGGAGAGGCCAGGCATGTGGAGGTCTCAGGGACTAAGTAGAAGCTAGGGTGCTTGGTTGGAACTTCACTGTCCACAGGTAGAAGGGCTATAGCAGGAAAAGATCCAGGAGGGGAGCCATTTGGGTCCCAGAGCTTGGGCCCTCCCAAGGGAGGGGTTGAGAGGGAGAGAGCTCCTCCAGGGAAAAGGGTCCTGGACACCTTATAGGAGTGGACCACAGAACTGGGCTGCTAGACATGAGAAATTCAATGAAGGACAGCAGTGTGGGCAGACCTGAGTAGATGTCCTGTGGTGGTGGTGCTGGAGGGGGTTACACAAGTGCCTGGGAAGTATAAGTTCCAGGGGACAGAGGCAGGAGAGGTAGACGGGGTCTGATTATGGAAGGCTCCCCAGGCTGGTAGGAGGGCTAAGGTTTGGGACTCAGGGGCCAAGGACTGACCTGTGCCTCTCCCTGACCAGTTTGTGAAAGCCATGGTGTTAGTGGTGGTGACATTTGCAGTCTGCTGGCTGCCCTACCACCTCTACTTCATCCTGGGCAGCTTCCAAGAGGACATCTACTACCACAAGTTCATCCAGCAGGTCTACCTGGCGCTCTTCTGGCTGGCCATGAGCTCCACCATGTACAATCCCGTTATCTACTGCTGTCTCAACCACAGGTGAGTCTGGCCCTGGCTCTGCCCTCCACCAGTGCAGTGCTGGGGACAGAACCCAGGGCTTCTTGCATGCGAGGCAAGCATTCCACCAAGTTACATTCCTAGTTGCATTGATGCATGTATATTTTAACATCCCCAGTCCCTTAAAAAACTTTATTTTTTTGCATGTATGTGTGTGTATGTATGACACGTGTGCATGTCCATGGAGGCCAGAAGATGTCAGGTCCTCCAGAGCTGGGGTTACAGACAGTTGTGAGCCCCATGACATGGGTGCTGGGAACCAAACTCGGGTCCTCTGCAACAGCAGTATGAATGCTTAACCACTGAGTCATCTCTCCAGCACCCCTTTTTCTTGAGACAGGGTCTCACTAAGCTGCCTAAGCAGGCAGGACTTGAACTTGGATCCTCTGGTCCCACTCTCCTGAGTAGGTGGAATTACAGGCCTGTACCACCAGGCCTGAATGAGAACTGTTCATTTTCTAACCAAATATACCCACACTTGGTAGTGCCACATGTTAATTTTCCTTTGAAGCAGTTCCTGGGGGTAACATCCCTGTTCCACCCTCATGGCCAGAGCCCCAATTCTTTTTTAAAACAGGTTTCTCTTTGAATTCCCCATTAGAAGCCAGTTAAGTCAGATCAGAAAATCTGTTGTTTCTCTGTAATTGTGTTTGATTTACCTCCCCTTCTTCCTCCTTCTCTCTCTCCCTCCCTCTTTGAGGCAGGGTCTCATTTGGCTAGCCTGGAGCTCTCAGTGATCCTCTGGCCTCTGATGGGATTACAGGCATGAGCCCCACACACTGGTTTTTCTGACTATTCCTAAAAACCAAATCTCAAGCATACATCTCTCAACAGCCCTGAGCCTTTGGTGGGCTCTTCAAAGCAAGGCAGTGACAATCCTTGGCAAGGGTGCAGATCTCCTGGAGCCGGGAGCAGTCACATGGCAGCTTGTTCCTGTACCCCTAATTCCCTTGCTTAAGGTGACCTCCCCATCCCCCAGGTTTCGCTCTGGATTCCGGCTGGCTTTCCGGTGCTGCCCCTGGGTGACACCAACTGAGGAAGACAGGCTGGAACTGAATCACACTCCATCCCTTTCCATGAGGGTCAACAGGTGTCACACAAAAGAGACTTTGTTTATGACTGGGGATGTGAACCCCTCGGAGGCTACCAATGGGCAGGCTGGGAGTCCACAAGATGGGGAACCTGAGGGACCCTGAAGGCCTTGAGCCCATCTGCAGGGCCAGGCTTAGCACCCTTTGTGAAGCAGTTGATGGAGAAACCCAGATGTGATAGTTTGTCCCATGTCCCACCCTTCAGTACACTGATGGGAAAACAAGATGGTGCCTGGAATCCCACAGGGGATGCTGACTCAGATCTCAAGAGTCCAGCCACCCAGTGTGATGCTCCAGGGATCCAGGAAGGGATCCTGACAACTGAAAACCAGCACTTAGCTAATCCAGGTGTTGCGGACTGAAATGCTTTCCTGGACATGATGGGAAAATCGGATCCCATGAAAAGAAAGACCGCACTTATAAGACTCAGCAGGCGCTTGCCACCAAGCCTCAAGATTTGAGTTCAATCCTTGGGACCCACATAATGGAAGGAAAGAATCCCCTGCCTATGAGGTATCTTCTGACCTCCACAAGTATGTATGCACACACACACACACACACAAATTCCCAGTGTCAAGGTCATAGAAAAAGGTAGCAGGCTGTAGGGGACAGGTTGCTTAACCCTAGACCACTGCTGCCAGATTTTTTAGAAAAGCCCGAAATCCACATTTATATGTGAAAGTTCCAGTCTTACTAAATTTGGTTCACGAAAATGCTCATAAATGCTGGGTAAGTCAAACAAATCAGGATACAACCATGACCATGACACCCCATTTCTTGCCAAGACACAAGGAAGGAAGTTCCTTTTTGGTTATGAGTTGACCCAGGGTGGCTCAGCCTCAGAATCTAACTCAGACATAACCCAGAACAGAGGGTGGTTGAAACCAAAGAATCTCAGCTGAGTTGCTTTGGACAAGTCACTCTGACCCTCAGCCTCTTCTTCTCAATGGCAGGAACATTATAAGGATCAATGGAAGAGACGCCTAGGAGCTAGGCAGGCCACCCTCAGATGGGTGCTCAATTAAATCATCGCTTTATCGGCTGTTAAGACACAAAAGCCATCCGTAGTCAGGAACAGGTTCCCCCTTACTCCTGTAGCAACAAGTTGGCAGGCAGAGAACCCCAAATGCGGCAGACCCAGCCTAGTTCACTCCAAGACTGCACCTTTCCCTGCATGGTGACTCACCCTCCACCCATCCAGTGTCCTCTGAAAACCAGATAAGCTGTAAATGTGCATGTGTGTTCGAAGTTCAATGTCTGTGCTCTCAGAGATCTCTGTGCTACAGATGCTGGCTCTGACAGTACCCCCAATAAAGGGCTCTGATGTAGGTCTGAGTCATCACAGGGTCCGGGGGGGTACTCATGGGCCATCCACCAAATAGCTGAGGGAAGAGTCTGAAACTGCAGCCTTGGAACAAAGCAGCAATCTTCTGGGCTAGGGTGGGAAAAGGGCGGGGTAGGGGCTAGGGACCCAGAAAGGGCAGTTGAGTCTGGGGAGGGCACACACAGCCATCCTGCCTCCTAGGGCTGTGTTCCATGTTGGGATACTGGCATGGCAGAGCAGGGCGTGTATCTCACGGTCTCTGGAGGTTGCAAAAGTGGGAGGTGAGGCTGCTTCTGCTCTGGGGTGATGGACACAGTGTTGCAGTCCCTGAGGGTCCAACAAGTGAGGACAGAGGCTTCTATTTGCTCCTTTTCTCCAGGCCCCAGGGCAGGGACTTAGGCTGCTGGCAGGATGGTACTGAGATCCAGTCAGCTGGTACTTCTGTGACATTTTGGAATGATAAGCAGAAAAGCCCTTGAACCAAAGCAATGCTGGGGTATGAAGACTTGTTTATTTTTATTTATTCATTCATTTTGAGATGGGATTTCATGTATCCCAGGCTAGCCTGGAACTCACTATGTAGCCTAGAATGGCTTTGAATTCCTGATCCTCCTGGCCCCACCTTTGGAGTGTTGGGAATACACGTGTGCAGCACTGCGCCTATGAAAATTTGACTTTAAGATTTTTCCACTAACCCAGAAGACCATAAAAAAAAAAATCCCACTGTGGGACTGTCACCATAACCCAAGTTCCCCTCCCCTCTTCCCAACCAGGAAGCACCACTCCAGCCTTTGAATCAGTACAAAGTTTACTAGTCATACAACATGGCTCACGGAAGCGATGGGAGAGTCCAATGACGGCATTGTTTGTGGGTTGTTTCCTTTTGCCCCAATGGAGACAAGACGTTTTCCCACACGTCTGCCCACCTCCCCCACCCTACAAGACAAACAAAATGCAAAACTGTCACAATGTGGCTAGGACTGGTTCAATGGACACACAATTCAGTGGCATTGATACATCCAGATGGGATGGCAGGGTCCTGGGAGGGAGGAAGCAGACCTGCACCTACTCGCCCTTCAGGCCATGTCCCCTGGGAGGGGCAGTCGGGCAGTGTCTGCTGGTGATAATACACTTCCACACAGGGGAGGTGACCCCAAGGATGGGCTTGGGAGGCCCAGAAGGTGGGTCCAAAAGGGGGATCTTTCCACCTGGCTGGGCACCTGTGGTAGACATGGGTGCCACTACATTTCACAAGTGGGCAATGCACGGCTGGGTCGAACTCGAATCATGCAGAGTGGCAGGGTGGGTGAGAGGGGTCCAGGTGAGAGATTATCAACAGCACGTGCTTGGTGTTGCCTACATTACACTTCATTAACTGGGTTCCTTTCCTCCTGCTGTGGCATAGTGGGCTCCAGCAATGGGTCTTCCAGCAGGGCTGGCTGGGTGGAACATGGGGTCGTTGGTTTTAGAGAGGAATGCTGGAGGGAATGGTGGAGGGATGGGGATGGGGGGATTCTGGCTCTTAGCTGCTCGTAATTTCTCCTCTGAGCCGCACGCCCACAGCTGTGATGAGGGCAGCCCCCTTGCCACTGCCATCTTCAGACAGGAGGAAGGACACACTACACTTTGGTGACAGTTCCTTCACGGTTTGGTGCATGATTCTTGAGAAGCTGGAAAGACAAAGAAAGGGAGAGAAAGTCAGGAAAGGGAGATGAAACCTGGAGACCTGGGCTCAGCTGCAGTGACAGGGGTACTGAGACTGGCCAGGAGGGGCTGAGAGTGACTGGGAGGGGCTGCTTAAAAGCAGTCCTGGACTGGAGAGATGGCTTAGCAGTAAAGAGTACTGGCTGCTCTTGAAGAGAACTCGGGTTTGGTTCCCAGCACTCACATGGCAGCAAGTAACCGTCTGTAACTCCAGTTCCAGAGGATCCAATGCTCTCTTCTGGCCTCCTTGGACATTGCACACAGGGATGCACTTATTCACATGCATACAAAACACTCATACATACTCATACACATAAATTTTTTTTTAAATGTTAAAAAAATAAAGTTGGGCTAGAGAGATGGCTCAGTGGTTAAGAGCAATGGCTATTCTTGCAAAGGACCTGGGTTCAATTCCTAGCACCCACAAGGCAGCTAACAACCAACTGTAACTCCAGTACCAGGGGAATCTGACACCCTCTTTCAACTTCTGCAGGCATTGCACGACATGGTTGCATTTACACATATGTAGGCAATATATTCATAAACATAAAAATAAAATGGTTTTTATGTTTTGGTTGCTAGCTTTAGCCTTTAATGGCTGCGCCATCTCTCCAGCCCTAAAATATCTTTTTAAAGCTTAAAAAATAAAAAGTTGTGGGTAGACTGTGGACCTGGCTTACTCAGTTGGTGGAGTGCTTGCCAAGTATGTAAGAGGCCCTGGATTTGAGCCCTAGCACTACTGGGCCTGCTTATAATCCCAGCACTGGAGAGGTATAGGCAAGGAAGATCATAAATTCACTGCCATCCTCAGCTACATATTGAGATCCAGGCCAGCCTGAGCTACATGAAACCCTATCTTAAAACTATAACAAAAAGCTAGGCATGATGGCACACACCTTTAATCCCAGCTCTCATGAGGCAAATGGATCTCTGTGAGTGTGAGGCCAGCCTAGTCTATATAGTGAGTTCTAGGCTGGCCAGGATTACATGGTGAGACCCTGTCTCAAAAAAGAAAAAAAATATATTTATAAAATTTAAATTAGTCCCCAAGCAAAAAATAGGCGTAGTAGAGACAGACTAGGGAGAAATGGGTGTATGGCCGACTCTATCATCACAGTCTCCAGCAAGGAGGTGCCAGTACAAATCCCTAACCCAGCGACTTGTGAGTGCTAGGGCCTGTATGAGCCACTCAGATACCCCCACCCCAGATTGTGGTGCTCCTAGGGGACCTGAACACCAAGAAGGATGCTGAGTCCTGGGCAGGGATCCTCAAGGTGGTCAAACATGAGGTTGGTTCAGGAAGACCCATGGGAAGGACAGTACACCCTAGCTGAAGTCTCGAGACTGCCAGCCCACCTCCACAGCTAGCACCCAGCACCTACAGCAGAGAGCAGCCCCCCATAAAGGGAGGTAACTTTGAGGGCAGGCATTCCATGGTGAGCATGAAAGACAAGGCCAGGCACTTAGGCTGGCCGCAAACTCCTTCAAATGCCTGGTTGATGCAGTGCTAGAGATGGAAACCTGGGCTTCATTCATCCTAGGCAAGCACTCTGCCAACTGAGCCACATCCCCACTAGGCAACAGCTTCTAACTGATGGATCCAGGACTGAGTCTAGAGCACGTGTCTCTGAAGCCTAGCTCTACACCAGCCACAAGGCTGTCTCTGGCTACGATGAAGACAGCCAGGAAGGGGGAAGAGATGGAAGAGAGAATGAACAAGATGCATGCTGCAGTCATGACATAGGTGAGTAATGTTTCTAGACAGCAGGTGGCACTGTGGCCTGGTTTATGTGGGATGGTCTCAGGTAGTTATTAGTAGGATTCTGTGTCCTGGTAAGAAGCTCCCCTGTTCAGACAGTCACTGTGTCATCATTGAGCTTACTCTTCTAAGTCCTGAAAGCTCCCATTTTGCTGGTGAACCAGCATGTGAATAAGTGCATCCCTGTGTGCAATGTCCAAGGAGGCCAGAAGAGAGCACTGGATCCTCTGGAACTGGAGTTACAGATGGTTACTTGCTGCCATGTGAGTGCTGGGAACCAAACCCGAGTTCTCTTCAAGAGCAGCCAGTACTCTTTACTGCTAAGCCATCTCTCCAGCCCAGGACTGCTTTTAAGCAGTTGCCTCTCCACTTCTCAGTCTTCTCTCCAACTTAACCAAGCACAGATGACCAGCTAGACTGCGGCTGGCCAATGCATCAACCTGCACCCATTCTCACCCACCACACATACTCAGAGGGCCCAAGAGAAGCAGGAGAGTGTTACCATATCAGTGACATCCCTTCCCAGCTCCCCAAGGATCAAGTCCAGATACCAGAGCTTACTCCTGATCTCAGGCTCCTGTCCCCAAACACATAGCCTCAGGCTGCTGTGTTTGCATGGAAAACTGCAATGAAACCCCATAACTCTCAAGGGAACTCACCAGCCCAGTGAGTTTTCCCCATCCTAGGCAGAAGCCATACTCACTGTGGATGAAGTTTGTAGAGTGTCCCATCCACTCCCACAGTCACATTCAGATGGTCCAGCCCTCTGTTCTCTCGGATCTTTTCCACCACGGCAGCCATGCCTGCGCCACACAGCTGTGCGGCCCTCTTGGACACCACCCCGCATACGGTCTTGACAAGGATACTGTCATCACACGTGCTGTTCAGACCCAGCTGCTGGAGGATGGCCCGCACTTGGAGCAGCGCTAATCGGTCACTGTGGAGGACAAAAGCCAGGGGGCTGGATGGAGCACTGCCCACGGAACAGTCTGGGACCATGGGATTGGCCCCAAAGCACTGTGCTCATCTATGAATAGCATTATGGGGGTTTATTCTCCTTCAAAGTAACTTTTAAATTTTAATTTATTTATTTTGAGACAGGGTCTCACTATGTTCCAGGCTGGTCTGGAACTTGCAATATATAACAGACTGGTCTCAAACTTACAGAAATCCGTCTGCCTCTGCCTCCTGAGTGCTGGGATTAATGCCCAGCAGTCTGTTTTTGAGACAGGCTGGCCTCAAATTCACTATGCAGCTGAGTCTGGCTGAGAAATCCTGAGCCTCATACCTCTACCTCCTAAGTGCTGGGATCATAGGAATGTACCACCATGCCGTTTTTATCATTCCCATTTCAAAGAGGAAGAAATAGAGGCTGGGGGAGATGGAGTCACTCACTTGAAACCGGAATTACCATAGGGTGCAGCAAGTCCACGTGTGACCATATGCATCAAATACTTATATCCCCAGATGATAGCATCATTCACAGAAGCCAAAAGGTAGAAATAACCCAAGTTACCACAGAGACAAAGAGTGGTAGGTCCATACAACAGAATATCACTCAGCTTTAAAAAGGAGGACATTCAGACACAGGCTACAACATGGATGAACCCTGAAAGTATGCTGAGAAATAAGTGAGATGCAAGAGATGCCTGGAGAGGTCAGATTCACAGAAACAGAATGACAGGAAACCTTCCCCACTCACCTCTCAATCTGAGAGAGAAACTTGGTCTCAAAGATGCCCCGAGTCTTGAGAGGCTCAGAGATCTGTCCCCGGAAGAGGAATCCCTTCTTGGTGAAGTCAATCAAGATGTTGCGGACGATTTCCCCCAGGTACATACCACTGATCATCTTTTCATACCTGCAGGAGGAGGAAGGAGCTGGTGAGCAGGAGGAACCACTCACCCTTGGCCTCATGACCACTCCCAATCTGACTGCCCTTCAGAAGATCACAGCAACAGGTGTCTCCCCAGAGGCAGAGGCGGACTAGGAGGCACGTTACCCTCCCCACACCCAGACACAAAGCTCCCAGTAGTCACGTGGAACAGCTACATGGTCTGTGCCTTCTAGCCTTTGCCTAGCTCTTGACCACATGCAGAGACCCCAGAGAAGCTGACCCAGACTAGCTCTCACCTGTTCTAGGCTCCCTTACACCTCATCCTTCTACAGAACACACTCAGGATCCCTGCCTCTCATCATACCACAGTGCTGGATGGCCTGAGAGGACAGGAAGTGGGGGGTGTCTCACTCAGCTCAGCTTGGAGTTAAGGCTCTTGGCAAAGTGTTCAGAACATAGTTTCAGTCTAAGCAAACAGCTAGGCTGTTTTTTTGTTTTTTTTTCCTTTTATGTGTATGAACGTACTGCCTGCATGTATGTAAGTGCACCCATGTCATGTAATGCCCACAGAGGACAGAAAAGGGTGTTGGATCCCCTGGAACTGGAGTTACAGACTGTTGTTAGCCACCATGTGGGTGCTGGGAATTGAACCTGGGTCTTCTGCAAGAGCAGCCAGTGCTCTTAACTGTAGAGTCATCTCTTCAGCCCATAGGCTGAGTCTTAAAGGGACCAGAGTGCTAATTAAGTACACAGCACAAAGCCAGCCCCAAAGCCAGGAAAATCTGGGCAGGCCACAACACATCTAAGGTTAAATGGGAACCCTTTTCTGTTCAGGGAACACAGCATCAGACAGTCTGATTCCTGGGAGACGGGACAAAAAAGACCATTCATTACATTTCTGGGTAGACACTGCCAATTCAGAGCTAGGCCCTGAGACCTGAGATGTAAAACTTCAAACAGCCACTAGAGAGAGGAGGAGATCACAGCAGGAAGCATAGAGGCTCTATGCCACCTCAGCCACACCCTCACCCCACCCTTTATCCTTCTCCTAAGGAAGAAACACAGCAAGGGAAGGCCAGAATAGGCCACTGAGGCAGCAAGTCACCAGTCCTCTGGGGACATCTACCATGTCATGGGTCAACCTCCAGGATTCTCTACCTCACCCTAGGTCAAAAGCTAAGGTCAGTACTGAACCAGAGGAATGTGTTTCCAAGCCTCTGCAGACCTCACTCCCTCTAGAAACATTTCTGCAGTAGGCAGAATGTGGTCAAACATTGTCCCTGTCCTGACCCTTGGCTGCTGCCTCCATCAGTCTGGATTACCTTTGTTTCCCGGCATTCAGAGAGAATTCATCCACCACTCTGTCATACTCCGTTCTGATGTCATCCATACACCCGTTGTCCCCAAAGGCGCCCCACTCCATGTTGATGCACATCTGCCCCTGGTTCCCTTCCAGCACCTCCACGTTCCTCATCTCCTCCATGTAGCAGGCATTGGAGCCAGTCCCTGTAACACATGGCAGAGGTGAGTGACTGTACCCCCACTAGAGGCTCATGCCTGGCCCTCAGACCTAGGGCCCAGCAGTTCAGATACAAAAAGACTGTCTGGTATATCCCTGGAAGACCTCAAATTCACCATGCAGCCAAGAACGGATGAACTACTCACCTTCCAACCTCTACCTCCCAAGTGTGGAATTATTGGGCATGCACCATGACTGGCTGATGTGATGCTAGGGATGGAATCCTGGGCTATGTGTATGCTAGACAACCACTCTACCAACTGCTAGCCCTCAGAGGTACTTTTTTGAGATGAACAAAAAAACAGTTTTGTTCTCTCAGGGTGTCTCAGGAAAACTTGAAATATAGCCAGTGAATCTCGGTTCTTTAAAATTTTTTATTTATTTTTATTTTATGTGTATGAGTGTTAATGTCTGCATGTATGTAAGTGGACCCATGTCATGCAATGCCCACAGAGGTCAGAAGAGGGTGTTGGATCCCTTGGATCTAGAGTTATGGATGGTTGTTAGCCACCATGTGGGTGCTTGGATTCGAACCCGGGTCTTCTGCAAGAGCAGCCAGTGCTCTCAGCTAACGAGCCATCTCTCCAGCCCCCAAATCAGAGTTATTAAGCTACACAGAGAATAGTAGATTAATTTATCTTTTTTCATTTGTTTGTTTTTTGAGATAGAGTCTCTCTATGTAGCCCTAGCTGACCTGGAATACACTATGTTGACCAGGCTGGCCTTGAACGCATGGCAATCCTTCTGCCTGTACCTCCCAAGTGTTAGGATTTATAGGTATGTGCTATGACACCCAACTTGAATTACCTTATATCAAAAGCCCCGCATGCTGATCTGCCCAAGCAGGGCTATATTTATGTTAACAGATAAGTCTTTAAACAAAAGAATATATCTCCAATGGGAGAAATGCAATATTCAGCTCAGAAGAAAAAAATACATGTACACATACAAGCACAACTTATACACACATACACATACTATGGGTATGGACACATGTATCAACCAGAGAATTGTCTACCATCAAACTCAGATGTTCACTTAGCTTTTCTCGTGCAAGTTAGTTAGTCCATACACCACACCTAGTTAACCAAGTTAGTCCATACACCACACCTAGTTAACCAAGTTAGTCCATACACCACACCTAGTTAACCAAGTTAGTCCATACACCACAAGATACACATACTATGGGTATGGACACATGTATCAACCAGAGAATTGTCTACCATCAAACTCAGATGTTCAATACATCACACCTAGTTAACCAAGTTAGTGCATACACCACACCTAGTTAACCAAGTTAGTCCATACACCACACCTAGTTAACCAAGTTAGTCCATACACCATACCTAGTTAACCAACTTCTGTGTTTGGGGGAAAAGTCCCTTCTAAGCAAAGGTTTCTGACCTCACTGGTATCTCAACCTCATGGAAAATCTGATGATTCTGAGATAAGGAACATTTCTCAGGATGAACCTCCCGCCACCGCCCCGCCAACCCCCAACTCACAGAACATAGCATATGGTTTCTATAGCTCAGAACCTCTGGTTTCCATTCTTGAACTCCCTAGAGCACCATGACTCACTGTCCCCCACAAGACTATGGAAGGACTACAAACTGATTGCTGTTCCACTCCCTGGAGCTAGGTAAACAAACTAAGAGGTGCATGTTCACAGCAGTTTTATTTTTAAATTGTATGTATGTGCCTGTGTCTATATATGTGTGGGTATATTCATGCCGTGGCATATGTGTGGCGGCCAGAGAACAACTTGCAGGAGTGAGTCCTCTCCTTTTATCATGGGGTGGATCCTGGGGATCCAACTCAGGTCCTCAGGCTTGGCAGCAGGCGCCTTTACCCACTGAGCCATCTTGCCAGCCCTCACAGCCGCTTTAATGCCATGACTGCGGGCTTGTGGTCACTGGACTTGTCTTACTGAAGAGTCTAAAAACTCAGCCAAGGACCCCTTCCCGTAGATACTTCAAGATGCACTTGAGCCACCTGAGGAGCCTGTGTTCATGCAGATGACGACTCAGGGAGGGTCTGGGGTGAGGCCGAGAATGCATCAGCAACCAGCTCTGCTAGATGGCTGCTGCTGCTAGTCTATGGCCTGCACATCCCAAGGCAAAGCCCTCAGGGATGAAGGCCCGCTTTTAGTATCCTTAGGCCAACTTAAGGGCATGCCACCTGGCCAGAACAAAATGCACAACCCCTCTGAAAAACTTAAGCAGAATTCTTGGGCACTTTTGATTGTGCTGCTGGATTGGTTTTGATCTCTCAGCTCCCTTTTACTGAAAGCATAAACATGAGCCTTGGAAGGAGAAACACAAAGTCAAAACATGTAAACTGTATTTCTTGCCCTCAGGTGTTCTGAACAAAGAGATCAATTGATGGTGGGAAGAAAAAACTGGCTGGATCCAGGTGCTAGCACATCTAATGCTGATTGGGACAGCCCTGGACTCCCAGGCAGGAAGGTGAGGCCTGGCCTGGAAGAAGAGATGATGCCAAATCACTCTGGCATTCTAAGTCCCACCTAAGCCCATTCATAAGCCAAAGGATGGGCAGGGCTAGGTGGAGATGGCTTTGCCAAAAGAAAGGAATAGTGTCTCAGAGCCAGGCCCTAAACAACCTTTTATCTGGATCTGCTTCCTGATTCCTTCAGTTTCAAGAATTGCCCAGCAGGCTTAATAACAAACATAAAGGCCCAATCCCAATCTCCAGATACTCAGAGAATGGTCCTGAGAAAGGGGTGACATGTCACGCTTTCCAAGCAGAGTCTGTAGATGTTGGTAGCTAAGACAGTTTGGGGCATGTGATGCTTAACTTTAATTGTCAACATGACACAACCTAGAATCACCTGGGAAGAGTCTCAATGAGGGACTGTCTGCATTGGACTAGCAAGTGCACATGTCTACGGGGGATTGTCTTAATTAAGTTAATGTGGGAAGACCCAGCCCACTTGTGGGCAATACCATTTCCTACAAGATGAAAAAAAAATACCCATGCATTTAATGTCACTTGTGTGTGTGTGTGTGTGTGTGTGTGTGTGTGTGTGCGTCTAATACTGTTTTATGACTGACTATATACTTTAAAACATAGTACTCACCTTATAGTGGTTTTATAAATGCTTACTAAAGTTTGTGTTGAAAAAGGAATCAAATCTAAAATGGAAAGAGCTATCCTGAGAAACATTTCACCATTATCTAATGGAACATCTGTTTGCAACCACCTTGCTTGCTAAGGGTGCCTGAAATACTCTCTGCTAAGAGAATACCTTAGCCCCTGCTCTAAATATTTGCCTTTGCAAGCATGCCTGCAGAAGGAATTTCCCTTCAGTGGTCTTGGGGCACGTAAGCACCTGTGCTGGTAATCACACAGGCTGGAACTTAAACCCACCAATGTTGTAACAGTTAAAGAGTAACTCTGGGAGACCTATAAAAACTGTGAGGGAACTAAACCCAGGGCTTGAGTTCTTTGAGAGGAAACTCCACCTAAAGTACACCAACATTAATAAACTGTTCCCATTTCTCCACGTGAATCTCCTGGTGCCTTCTCCGAGCATGAAGCGTTCCATGCCCCAGTTTCTACACCAAGGTAGGGGCCTTGAGCTAAGTAGTAGTGGAGAAATCAAGTTGTGCATAAGCAAGGAAGTGTTCATTTACTTCTCTCTTCTAACTGTGGATGTGCCATGACCGGCTGTCTTCAAGTTCCTGCCTTGACCTCCCTACAGTGATGGACTCTATGTGACCAGGAATTGTGAGCTAAAATCAACCCTTTCTACCCTAAGTTGATTCTAGTTAGGATATCTTATTACAGCAACAGAAATGAAATTGTGACACAGCATTTTCCCAGCATCCCCTGACACTAGATGCAGGACAAAGGGTTTTCTCCCAGCCCCAGCCAATGTGCTTTAGGAATTTAATGCTCTTGGGCTGGGCAGATGGATCAGTGGATAAAGCACTTGCAAAGAGAGCATGAAGATCTGAGTGTGAATCCCCAGGACCCATGTAAAACCCAGTGTATGCTACAATCCTAGCTCCTACAGCTAGATGGGAGGTAGAGACAGGAGAAACTCTCTGGTCAGCTAGCCTGGGATACACTGTGGAGAACGAGAGACCCTGTCTTAAGCAAGGTGGAAGGTGGGACCAACATCCAAGGTTGTCCTCTGACCTTCACACACACTGTGCAGCCCACATGTACCCAGGCACACAGAGACACACACAGACATACACAAATAATTTAATGCTTTGGCAGTTCAGGCCACTGACATATCTGGCACATCAGGGACATACACCTACAGAACCGATAGCTAACCCCTCTGTAACCCACTCAGGAGCTGGGGTCACTCACAGACAGTAGCTGTTAAAGGCAAAATGGTGCCCAAGAGCACACTGGCCCTCTCTAGCTTGAGTACGTTCAGGAGTGGAGATGGCTCTGCTTCCTTTTCTGCTTGTCAGCTGCAGTACCCATGCTCTTCCACATAGTTATGTGGGCTTCAGGTACCCCATCCCATCTACTCAAGCCACACTAGTTTACTGTGGTTTCGTTCCTCACAAACCCATTGACGGACAGTCTGATCACAACTGATATGAACCATTATGGGGTGTTGACAAGGGGGGACCTTTCTCCAACACAGAATTCCAGAGCAGGTAAAAGGACAGTACCAACAGACCAATTGTCCAACATGAAGAACTGTGATGCTGGATCTCTATAAAACAGAAAAACCCAGCTTCCCCTTCCTGGAGAGAAGACCCCTTCAGGACCCTTACCTACAATAAGTCCAACTTCACAGCTGGGTTCCTCATATGCACAGGTCATCATGGTTCCCACAGTGTCATTGACCATAGCCACCACATCCAGGTCAAATTCCTTTGGAAAGAAAGGGACACTGACTTAGGGAAGGAACAGCCTGACTTTATCTAGCTCGGATCCTTGCTGGTTCATCCTTTGTTTTGGACTGGATGCTGCTGGGAAGCAGGGTCGATCCTCTGACTGTGTTCTGAGCCCTCATGATTACGGAATGGCTGTATTGTCTATATCCATGCCCACCAACAGGGCATCCATGTCTGATGCATTCTGGGAAACTCTGGCAGAACCTGGCTGTTAGGAGCTGTCTTTATTTTCTTCCATTACTCTAAGTGTTGTGGCTTTATCTTTCTTTGAACACATTATCCCTTTTACATTTATATATTTATTTGGAGTGTGTATATATGTACGTGTGTATGCATGTTCAGAAGCATGCACACAAATCTACACCATAACACGTGTGGAGATCAAAGGACAACCCACAGGAACTGCTGGCTCTCTCCCTCCACCATGTGTGTTCCAGGGAGCAAACTCAGGTTGTCAGACTTGACAGCAGGTACGTTTACCTGCTGAGCCATCTCACTAGCCCCATATCATCCCCTTAATAACTCAAAACCGATAGCTGTCACTTTAATGTTGGCATGCTTTTGCATCATTCCAGTTCTTACAAAAGAGCACATATAATTTTTATAACCTCCAAAGTCATAAGGAGTTTTAAAAACATTATTTGAGTTACCTCTCTCCTTTTTATCGCATCCCTTAACAAAGTGGCTACATCATGACCCACGCAGTCACTGGCCTTGAAACCCTTTGTCCAGGTGATCAGGATTCCCTGAAACATGAAAGGCACGAGGACAACCCAGATGAGAAGCCCTTCTAAGCAGAACGGAGCTCCACACCCTCCCTCCCAGGCAACAACCCAAGCCTCACCAATGTGCCAACATCGATTTGGACTGTGCTCAACACAACAGACAGATTCCCTCCCACCATCCTCACAGATGTCTGCTTTTTAATCCCCACTTCATGGAAGGAGAAACTGAGGCACATAAGATTGATTACAGACCATGTAACTGAAGAAATGCAAAACAGTTGTAACATTATTACGATCTCAGGCAGACCACAGGTTTCAGAGGACTGCAGCTATAGATGCCGATGGGAAAAAAGTGCCACAGGTAAGTGCTCACCATGCTGAATGGGAGGTGAATAAGCAACCTGCTCTAAGAAAGTCATCCTAGCCGGGCGTGGTGACACACGCCTTTAGTCCCAGTACTTGGGAGGCAGAGGCAGGTGGATCTCTAAGTTTGAGGCCAGCCTGATCTACATAGAGAGTTCCAGGCCAGCTGGGGCTACAGGGAGACCCTGTCTCAAAAACTAAACTAACAAAAAAAAAAAAAAAAAAAGGAAGTCATCCTAGGGGCTGGAGAGATGATTCCGTAGTTAAGAGTACTGGTTGCTCTTACAGAGGACCCAGATTCAATTCCCAGCACCCACATGGAGGCTAACAATCATCTACAACTCCAGTTCCAGGGTAATCCAACCCCCTCTTCTGACCTCTACAGGTACTACACGACATGAGTGCACTTATACACATGTAGGCAAAACACTGATACATAGAAAATAAAAATAATATTTTTTTTAAAAGAAAGTCATCCCACTAGATGTAGCTCACTTTCAGAATCTTAGCACTTAGGAGGCTGAGGCAGGAGGATCATCCATGAGTTTAAGACCAGTCTAGTCCACATAGTGAGTTCCAGACTAGTCTAAGCTACATAATGAGACCTTTAAAAACAAAAACAAAAACAAAAAAAACCAAAAACAGACCTTTAAAAACTGAAATAAACAAAAGTGAACTAGGGGCTGGAGAGCTAGCTCAGCAGTTAAGAGTAGGGACTGCTCTTGCAGATGAACCAGGTTTAATTCCCAGCACCCACATACCCACATGGTGGCTAACAACCAACCAGAGCTCCAGTTCCAAGGGATCTGATACCCTCTTTTGACCTCTGCGAGCACTGCACAACACAGGTGCACGTACATAAAATAAAAATAATACATAAAATACATAAAATAAAAAATAATAAATAAAATATTAAAACAAATGAAAAAAAAAGTGAACTGGAGATTAGCTGGAGATAAGCTCAGTTGGTAGAGTATTTGCCTAACATGCACAAAGCCCTGGTTTGTTCCCCAGCACAGCACAAACTGGGTATGGTGGTGCATACCTATAATCCCAGCACTTAGGATGGGGAGGCTGAAGGCAGGAAGATTAAAAGTTCAGAGTCATCCTTGGCTACATAGGGAGTTTGAGGCCAGCCTTGGCACATAAGACCCTGTATCAAAACAAAACAAAACAAAACAAAAAGCTTACAGAGATCCAAGTGCTGAGATGTGAAAGGGTATAAAGGTCAACAATGTGACCCTATGAGATCACCTTCCCAGGCTCCCCAGTGCTGCCAATCCAGCCTTAAACCCTGGTTTGGGCACCTTTCTTGGCCATGCCTTCACCCGCGCCATGCAGTTGCCTGCCTCTCTTCTAGACAGGCTAGTTCCTGCCTCGGTGACACTACACAATCTGCCACCTTGGCCCACAGTGCCCAGCCCAGCCCAGCCCTTCTTGCTCAGGGGCTGAGCTCTAGCACAAGAGCCTGACTCTGCAACTGGCACAAGGGCTCCCAAAGGACAGAAACTGTAGTCTCTATTGGTGCCCACAGTTGAGTCTTCAGTGGGGCACTCGAGCCTTGACCTGGACCCTTTCCATCCTATGTACTGAGTGAGCATTAACTGAAGGTCTATTCTAATACAGCGTTGTGCTCGGGCTTACACATAAAGCTCCTCACAATGCAATCAGCCAAAAAGAAAGCTACTAAGAGCTAGGGCTGTGGCTCAAATTGGCAGAGTGCTTGCCTGGCATGCACAGAGCCTTAGGTTTGATCCCCAGTACCACATAAACCACGTTTGGTGGTGCACGCTTGTAATCCCAACACCTGGAGGTAGAGGCAGGAGGATCAGAAGATCAAGGTCATCTGTGGCTACACAGTAAGTTCAAGGCCAACCTGGAATAAAGGAGACCAGGAAAAAAAAAGAGAGAGAAGAGGAGAAAAGGGAGAGAAGAGAGAAGGGAGTACTGAGCAAGGAAGGAGGTGAAGGAGGGAGGAAGGAAAAAGGAAGGAGTGAACTACTGAAAAGTCTGTACAGTGCTGTGATGAAGGCATGGACACGGGGACAAGATAGAAAAAGGTCAGATTCTCTGTGCCTGGAGGCCCCAAAGGGTTCTCAGAGGAGTGAACACTTTCAAAATTGACAGAGTAGTCTTAGGATGTTCTGGAGGGGGCGACATGAAGCATAGGTTGACCCACTGTGACATGTGAGACAGTATAGACGTCTAAGGATTGCACCGAGGAAGGAAAAGCTTTCAGCCCACCCTAGCCACATGAATTCAACACTATTGGAGGTCTGATGCCCACAGGACAGAGACTCACACAATCCAGGCTTGTCTGTTTGCAGGGAAAAGAGAAGGTGAAGCCCAGAGGCATCCGGGGGCCTTTGATCCCCATGTAGTCCAGGAAGTCGGAGATGCAGGAGACGATGTGGTCAAACAGCTTTAGGAGACAAGAAGGGGTTACGCAGGCTGTCTTTGGTTTCACACATGTGACAGGTGACAGGTGTGCAAGCATGGGCTTGCCTTACCTCCTCTCCGGTGCCCTGCATGATTTCCGTGGGAATGGAATAGATCTTATTGTGCATCTCCACTGTTCTCTTTTTCCCGCTTCGGATTTTCACTAGCAGGACTCGGAAGTTTGTTCCTCCAAGATCCAAGGCCAAAAAGTCGCCGTGCTCTGTTACAGGAAGAACACAGGGCATGCCACAAATGGTCAAATGTATTTTGGCACCCAGTAGCCCCAACACTCCCAACTTGCAAGTGGAGCACCCCTAATCTGTATTAAGGGGATGCTATGATTCCCCCATGGGATACACAGCACAGACTCAAAGGAGAGCCAGATACTGAGTTACTGACTCGGAAACAGGGCCACATCAGAAGGGCAAGAGTCTCCAGGCTGAACCACTTGTCATAGCAACTAAACCAACTTCACCAGGGTTACTGAAAAGCCTAAGGGCAATGCCCTAATATTAGAGAACCTTCTATAAAAATTCGTAATTATGTCAACGTAATTAGGGAATCTAAAATGTCCACAACCTTCCTTTCTTCTTTACAATGTGGGTGTGCAGTTCCTTCCACCAAAAGATGGAATCTGTTTCTTCTCCTTTTGGATTCTGGGGCCAAAAGGTCCGGACATGAGCAAAGCGAAGCCTCGGCCTCCAGAGATCTCCCTTGTCCCTGGTAGATCAGCTGCTACCACGAAATAACTCAAGCCCAGTGGCTCATTAATGGAAAAGACACATGACCAGGTACCCCTGTATCTTGAGCACCAGGACAGACTGAGGTCAGCCTCCCAGCTGACCCCCAGCCGACTAGGGATCAGGAACAGGTCCAGCAGAGATCAGCAGAGGCTGGCCTGAATGAGCAGAGCTGTCCAGCTGACCCACAGACTCCTGGGCAAGAGTAAACAGTGGTTGATTTATGCCACTAAGTTTGAAGGTGGTTTATAATACAATAATAAATAAGCATATCCATAAGATGTGTTTATATTCCAGAGGATCCACCCAAAAAACTCTTCAGCATCCCCTTTAGGCCTCCTCATAGAACCCACTTCCATGAGGGATAGAATGCTGTTGTACAACCTGCTCAAGTATGAAAAGCCCCCACCTGTCTCCCTCCAACATACTCGGCTAGAACCTAAAAACAGAGCACTGTGTTAATTCTACTGCTGGTCTAGCTTTTTAAAGACAGGATCTTATGTAGCCCAGGCTGGCCTCAAACTCACTATGTAGCTGGTGCTGGCCTTGAACTCCTGATCCTTCTGTCTCTACCTCCTGAATGTTGAGATTATAGGTGTGTGGTTTCCTACTTTCTAATTCTAACATTGCTTTACAAATAGCACTAGCCTGGGAGGTCCCATTAGAGGTACTAAACTGCCCTGAGCCACACAAATGTCAAGCCAGCCGGACAATGGAAATCGGGGAGAGTGTTCTGGATGCTCTTGTCAAATCCTGCAGGGCCAGTGTAAAGGCATCATCTTAAGAATCCAACACCCCTCCCCCAGGCCCCTTGTTTCTGGAACAGGGGCACAACAGCCCCAACAGGCCCTCACCAGTCCCATCTGGAATGCTCCGGACAAAAGAAGGCAGCATCTTGACTGTAGCTTTGTCATGGGTCTGCTTACTCAGCCCCAAATCCATCTCAACACGCATCCTCTTCTTCACCTCCAGCAGTGTCTGCTTGGTGAGGCGGAAGCGGGCCAGGGTCTCCTCGATCTGCCGGTGCTGCTCGGCCAGGCGGTAGGCCACTGCAGTCACCATGGCAGCACCCTTGCCACTGCCACTCTCCGAGAGGAGGAAGCGCACGTCGCAGTCGGGCACCAGGCGCCTCAGGGTCTTATGGAAACGTCGGGAATACCTGGAGAAGAGGGTGGGTGTGGGTGTGCTGCAGCCGCTGAGCCCCCATCGGGGATCTCTGGTAACCCTTCTGGTCACCATGTTTTAATCTCATTCTCTATTCTTGCTTTCTCATCATACAAGTGTCACGCACCCACTGCAGAAAGGGCGGCAAGCACAGACAGGAAAAGCATAAAGGAAATTCCAAAACTACTTGGAAAAAGGATCATCTTGTGATTTTAGGAATATCACATACAAAAAATTCAAGGACCAAAACAATCCTGTGTGAAACACAAGGATTGTTGGAAGCTTGAGGCCAACCTGGGCTACATAGTGAGTTCTAGGCCAGCTAGGGCTACCTAGCAAGATTTTGCTGCAAAAAACCAACCAACTAACCAAACAAACAAAAAAGAAAAAAGAAAAGAATTTTGTCCACCACTAGGTCAAAGTGGCCATAGGGGTCAAAGGCAAGTGCTTCACAGTTAGACCCAAAAATGAGAGTCCACCACGTTCACATCAAGTGACCTTGAGCCAGGACTTAACTTTGGAGTTAATGGGGATCTGTGGCTGGCCAAAGATGGAGTTCTGGGAGTGGGATGGGTTTATTAACATGTTTACATCAGGAACTAGTGCTGGGGAAATGCTCAATAATCCTTCCTAGGTTTTATTTTCACTTGGCTCTTCCCCACCTCCCCAGAAGAAAAGCCGACCAGACTGTGTGAGGCACAGAACTGTGACAGTCTGCTGTATGGAAGGCCTCTGCCAAAACAGGAAAAGTGCTTCTCCCAAAATATTAGCAGTAGTTGACTCCAAGGAGAGGGACTGAGAATGACTTCTATTCTCTCTGTTACTTTTCAAACTGTCTCAAGTTTCTATCAACTCTGAAATAAGAACTACCTACTCAAAGTTATTTTTTGTGAATGTGTATGTGCACACATATGTGCAGGTATGCAAGAGCCCATATATGCACATGTGTGGAAGCCACAGGTTACTATCAGGTGTTTTCCTCAACTGCTCTCCACCTTACTTTTTGAGACAGGGTCTCTCACTGAAACTAGGCCTCATCAATTGGCTAGACGGACTGGCCAGATGGTCTCAGATGTCCTCCTGTCTCCATCCTCCCTGGCTCTGGATTTATAGGTGCACACTCCTGTACCTAGCTCTTTACATGGTTCTGAGGACTCAAACTCACACCTATGCAACATGCAACTTACTGGCTGAGCCACCTCCCTGGGCCCCAAAGTTACTCTTTCAAATGTGAAGTTGCAAATAGAAAGAGTTCTGAATATGGCTAGCTATACAATATGAATTCAATCAACATCACTGAAAAAGGGTTAAGGTGATATAGCTTTTATAATGTGTATTTTACAGCCTAAAGAAGTTTTGTGGGTTTATTTTTTGAGACAAGGTTTCACTATATAGCCTTGGCTGGCCTGGAACTTACTATGTAGACCAGGTTGGACTTGATCTCACAGAACTCCACTTGCCTCTGCCTCCGACGTACTGGGATTAAAGGCATGTGCCACCAAGCCCAGCTCTAAGAAAGTCTTAATGTGACAATGCAAATCCTTAAGCTATCTTGTCCAAAAATTAGCCAAGAAATTCCACAGAAAAAGCTGCATGCATTTGCACATACCCATGGTCTCAGCTACTCCAGAGGCTGGGGCACAATGATTGTTTGAGCCCAGAAATTCAGGACCAGAATGGGTACCATAGTGAGATTCTACTTCTTAAGTGGCACAACAAAAAAAAATAAAAGAAGCTAGTTTTCATTTTTAAATATTTAAAAAAAATTTTTTTAAATCTTTTTGAGACAGGGTCTCCCTATAGCCCTAGCTGGCCTGGAACTCACTATGTATGTAGACCAGGCTGGCCATGAACTCACAGAGATCCGCCTGCCTTTGCCTCCCGGGTGCTGGAATTAAAGGTGTGCGCCACCACATCAGGCTTATTTTAAAGTAACAAAATTATGATCTCAGCAGACATCACCACCTAACTAGCTTAAGCCCTAGGTCCTCAGCAACCCAGAACTATTTCAACTTAAATCAGCTTTTGTGCAAGCATCCTCAGTGCTGGGGCAAAGGCACAGGACCTGTAGGGGCACTTCCTGATGTAAGAATCACACAAGAATCATGCCACAGGCAGATATTGCTAAAATGGATCAGATAAAGACTTGTAATTTGCTAGCCATGTTTTCACTGGCCAAAGAGGCCTTTGAAGCTAAGATGGGCCAGCACTAGGACTAGCCAAGGCACTCAGCACACAAGAAAGCAGCTGAGTAGCAGAGTCTCTCCTGGTCGGCAGAGATTACTTACAAGCTCCTTATCACTGGCTCTCAGAAGCCAAGAGCCAACATGTTTGTTGCCCACTTAGAACAGCAATGTGTGAGGGTTTGGTAACAGGAGGTTCTGAGATAAGAATACATGGATGCCACTAGGCATGGTGGCACACTCCCCTAATTCCAGCACTTTAGAGGCATAGGTAGGAGATTCAGGAGTTCAAGGCCAGCCTCTGCTATATATTGAGTTCAAGGCCAACATGGGTTATATGAGTCCCTGTCTCAAAACAGAAAAAAAAAAAAAAAAAAAAAAAAGAATATGGACCCTGCACCTACGAGCCAAGCTCTAGTTATAAGGGACGGAGTCTCTTCTGATGAAATGCAGACAGGCTGCAGAGACACCACACCTCACATTCCTGTCAGCTCTGGAGAGACCTCTATCCAACTTGTGAAAGGAAAGAGCGGTGCAGACGCAATTCACAGAGAATGCACTGAGGTTGAGACTTTCCGAATGAGCAACTCTAACCTTTCTGTCCAGAACCGGGCATGGTCTTGTCCCCCCAAATTATACCCTGGGTGTAGAGTCTGGATTCTGGAGAAAGGACCTGGCCGCAGATGGGGTACTAATAGCCAAATACAGCAAATCCACTCACTGGGGGTGTGTCTTGTAGAGAGAGCCGTCCACACCAACCGTGGTCCGCAGCCTGGGGGTACCTTTGTTGTCACGCAGGCGGTTCAAGATGGCACCCAGCGTGGCAGCCACCAGGTTGGCTGAGCGAAAGGAGACAATGGTGCACACGTGCTGGACCGAAACACAGTCATCATCAGAGGGCTCCACTCCCAGGCGGGTCAAGATTTCTCTGGCATTTTGGATGCCTTCCTTATTCCTGTGAGGTGAGAGGCCAAAATTTATGAGTCAGTATCATGTCAGGCAGAGGGGAGCACTAGAGCTGGAAGGCAAAGTTAGGGAAAGTAGAACTCAAGGCTCACCAAGTGTGGCTAGCATGGCAGTGAGACCATCAAATGCCTGAAAAGAGCCTCAAGCTTGCATAAGAAATGTCTGGCCAGTAGCAGGAAACTAAGCTAGGTTACATCGTGCCAGGCATTAAGAGAGGCGAGTCCACATGGCCCATGAGAGACAGAGAGGTAGCTGGACTCAGCCTCATGGTGAAGGGGGACCTCCTGCTCCTGGGGTATATGAGTTGCTTATACATCCTTTCTGATTTTTTTGGTAAAATTCCAATTTCCTGCATACATGTTTTGTGTATTCTGTGTGGATTCATAGGTAATTTATAGTTCTGATGCTACTGTACACAAGTTTTAAAAATTACCACCCCCCGGATTGCACAGTCAACCATGGAGGAACTGGCAAGGAACATGCTAGAACTGTCTACAAAACCACTGGGATTTTCTATAAATCTGAACCTACTCTAAAAATGAAAATTTCGGGGCTGGAGAGATGGCTCAGCGGTTAAGAACACTGGTTGTTCTTGCAGAAGACCCGGGTTCAAATCCCAGCATCCACATGGCAGCTAACAACTCTCTGTAACTCCAGTTCAAAGGGATCTGATTCCCACCTTGGTCCTCCAAGGCACTATACAACCTGGGTTCACTTACATACAATGGGTGCACCTACCTACATGCAGGCAATACACTCATACAAATAAAAATAATAAATAAAATATTAAAAAAATAAAATGAGAATTTCAAGAATTTATGTATATATATATGTATATACATGAATGAATCAGGAAGAGACAAAAATACAATTCACTTTTCTCTCATATCTGCAGACACCTCTCCCATCCAAGTACCAACCAGCCTAAGCTTACCTTCCAAGATCATAAGAGATTGGGTGGTTTGAGGGTAGTGTGGCCAGCCATAGACTCATCTCCAGATATTTGTCTAATGTCTATTTGTTTATTCAGTCATCTGTAGGTGTTGGGGGGAGTCTCATATAGACATTCACCACCTATAATCAAGACAGCTTTATTTTTTCTACTTTGATTCTTTTCCTTAAAATTTTTTTTTTTTTAATTTTATGTGTGAGTGTATTGCCTGCATGTATGGAAGTGCATCCCCATGTCGGGCGATGTCCACAGAGGTCAGAAGAGGGCGTTGGATCCCCTGGAACTGGAGTTATGGATGGCTGTTAGCTACCATTTGGGTGCTGGGAATCGAACCCAGGTCCTCTGGAAGAACAGCAAGCATTCTTAAACACTGGGCCATCTCTCCAGCTCCCTACTTTGATTCATAAGCTTCTCTTGTCTTCTTTTTTCCTTTCCTTTTGGAAACACTTGCCTAAGTCTCCAGGAGTGTTTCTCACACCTACCCTTGTAGGGTGTTTTTTAGAGACAGGCTTATAATACACAATTTCTGCAGCTAGTCAAAGTAGTTTATGATTCTTTTTGTTCTGTTTGAGTCTTGTGGAATTCTGACTAGCCTTAAACTCACTATATGATCAAGGACGATCTTGTCCCACCATGTCTAGTGTTCAAGTTTCTCTCTCGTTCCCTCTCTCCCTCCGTCCCTCCCCCACCCCTGGCCAGGATGAAGAAGGCAGGCATTTTCTGACGTCACCAGTGACTCTGAAGTTAAGCTACAACACATACACACACAGAGAAACTCAGGAGTCGGGCTCTACCCACCGTGGCTCTGCAGTAATAATCACTCCTGAAGAAGAATCCCAGGACAGACTCTGATACATAGATTAGACAGAGAATAAGTCTAGGGAAACTCTCACCCTCCCAGTAGCCTCCTCTAACCACAGAAACAGGTGATGAACATTTCCCGTCAGAGCCACAGTAATACAGCCACTGATGGCATGTGAATATCCAGGACTACAGAGGGGGCAGTGGAGGTGGCTCATGTGGGAATGGATGGCACGCCCAGCTCTTTGCTGGTGATTACATGTGGTTACATGACTCTTCCTGAATCAGGAACAGAACTGGTGGCACACAGAAGCCAGTCACAGCACAGGAGTCCTTCAGACTTGGAGGCCCTATAGACTGCACCACACTGTGTCCCTCTCAGAGTGACTATCAATCAAGACAGTGAATTCTGGGTACCTTAAAGGGTGCCAAAGGGCAGAGGTCAGGTTGTTGTCTGGACTATCTGGCCTCATCTATTAATCAGTGTTTCTCCAACGTGTGTTTTGGGGAACATGGCTGCCCACAGGCCATTCTCTGAGAACATGTAGAGGCTGTGAGAGGTTTGGGGCTCAAAAGAAATTTTGGAAATGAAGGATTAAAGTGAATAGGGTTTCTTCAGCATGCTAATGAACATTGTAAACCTCTAAAATGAAATAAATGTATAGTTATTTCCCACAGAACCAATTAGGTATTGTCTGGGTGTTTCCAGGGTTCCCTAGGACATAGATTGAAAAAGGTCATATTCCAAGAGGGAATTTCAAGATGCCAGGCCCAGGCTTGGTCAGTCCCTCATGTAACACTAGATTCATCGGCTTCCTTAACCCAAATCTCACCCTGAGTACGTGTGTGCAGACATGTATATGTGTGTGGAGAAAGGAGAGGGAAGGGGTTGTTCTGCTAACTAAACAAGAAAATCACCCATGAATCATTTGTGCTAACTAACTAGGTTGTTCTTAATGACTAGCCACAGAGATCCTACAGGAAGACTAACTGGGAAAAGTTACAAAAGGTGAGGGGAGATGGGCCCAGACAACCTGGCCCATCTTCTCTTTAGTTGGCCTCAACAGGTAACAAGGCCCTGTCTCCCTCCACCCTAAGTCTCCAGATGGTACCTACTGTTCAATGGCTGACACATCGCTGGTATTGAACTTCCCTCTGGTGAGCAGCTCTGGGGTGATGCGCCCTTCAAATAAGAGACCTTCTTTGGCCATCTTGACCAGGATCAAGCGGACCAGCTCCCCTATGTACAAGCCACTGACCATCTTCTCGAACCTGAAGAAGCAAAGTCCACAGGTACCTCCCTCTGTCCCAATGCTGGAACAGCACACAGGGAGGGGACAGATATAAAAGCAGAGGTGGCCCCACTTCCTCCCTCACAAGCTCCTAGTCTCCTTGATAGACAGGATAATATTCTTGTGTGATTCATAAGGGGGGGACAAGGATGCCAATTCCACACAGGGTGGTCACGCAGACCCCACAGCTGTGCCCAAGAGGACACGTTGGGGCAGGAGCAGGCAGGGAAGACTGCCCCAAGGTGCAGGAATATTAGGATTGAGATTGGGGTTGACAGGTAAGAAGGTCCCCACACAAATGAAAACATCATCGTCATCTCTTACTCTTCACAGGGTCATCACCACCCCATCACTCAATCATCAAGCCCTCCAGAGATAAAGTAGCCAGGAAGTGCCCTCCCCATAGCCCAGCTCAGAGGGAGGGAAATGTCTTCTTGAGGGGGTGGGAAAAGTAGCTGTTCTCCACAGGGGAGGAGGCTGTTTGCTCATTTAAAAATTTGTTTAAGTAAGGCTGGGTATGGAGGCGCAAGCCTTTATTCCCAGCACTCAGGAGGCAGAGGCAGGCAGGTAGAGCTCTGTGAGTTCAAGGCTAACCTGGTCTACATAGCAAGTTCCAGTCCAGCTGGAGCTACAGAGAGACCCTGTCTCAAAAATATTTTTTAAAAAAAAATTTAAACAGCATTTTTTATTGATTCTTTGAGAATTCTATACAAATGTTATTTCGATCATATTCATACCCCTCCCCCATCTCCACCTCCATCCTGCTACCCACCCCCTTGATTTCATGTCCTTTATTATTTTTTTTGTTGTTGCTTGCACATTTTTAAAAAGATACTCTTTTAAAAATATATATATGGTTTTGTTTTTTTTTTTTGCAACAGAGTTTCCTTCTGGCCACAGCTGGCCTAGAGGCCAGAAGAGGGCGCTGGATCTCCTTAAGCTGGAGTTCTAAGTGGTTGTAGGGTACCCAACATGAGTGTTAGGAACTGAACTCAGATCCTCTGCAAGAGCGCGCGCGCGCGCACACACACACACACTCTCTCTCTCTCTCTCTCTCTCTCTCTCTCTCTCTCTCTCTCTCTCTCTCTCAACTGCTGAGTCATCTCTCCAGCCCCTGTGCATCTGCTGATCTCAGCCGTGGTGCTTGACAATGGTAAGACATTGGTGATGAAGACGGAGATGACAGGTGTCAGAGACTGTGCTGAGAACCTCAGTTCACAGCTGCCTGGAAGCTTCCCAATAACAAAGGGGCAGAGATTGTTCTACCATGAAAGTTGAAGCTCAGAAGTCATTTCTGCTCATGAAAGAAAAGACCTGGGTTCTGAACTCAGTTCCTGCAGCCCTGGAGCCCTAACTCTTCACTTGGGTGCAGGAACTGAGGCCTGGAGCTGGTAAACAGTTCAGAGCTAATAGGATCAACTCAAGTGTTTGTTTTGGGCTTTTTTTCCCCCCTTTTTTTGAGACAGTCTTATATAAGCTAGGCTGCCCATGAACTCACTATAAGGTCAAGGATAACCTTGAATTTCCAATCCTCCTACCTCTACCGCCTGAGGGCTGGGATTACAGGTGTGTGCTACCAGGTTCGGTTTATGCAATACTGGGGACCAAACCCAGGGCTTTGTGCATGATAAGCTCTACCAACAGAGCTATAGCCAACCCCTCATTTTATCCTCTGCCAACCAAAAGGACCAAGAAGCTGCTTTTTCAGGATGCATTCCTCCCCAGACCCTAACATACAAGGATAGCCAATCAGCTCATCCCCCTGCCCTGGCCACATTCAAGAATGGGCCAATCCCAGAATGAACTGGTTTTCTTAAACAATTCCCTCCCCACAAGAGTGTGGTGTGAGATGTGGCTCAGTAACTGCTGCAGCCACTTTGGGCCCAAGTGTTGCAGGGGAGACGTGGCTTCATGGAGCCTAAGATGGAAATTAACTCGAACAGGAAGACCCAGTTGAAAGGTTCCTGGGGCTCAATGTTGTATCTGAGCCAGATTTAGACCCAAGTACGGCTGACCAGGGATCAGGAGGAAGCTGTGAGCAGGGCAGACCAGAGGCAGGCCCACATTGGAGGTCTCCTTTAGAGGGTGGTTGGCTGGCACCCCCAGAGTTGGCAACAACTCAGCGAAACAATCTGTGTCAGAGCCACCCAGCAGTCAAAGATGCTGCTGTGTCCTGATTGCCCAGCCCTGGCCTGTCAGTACAGTGCAGAACCTCCTTAGAAACAGAGATCCCATTGTTCCTGAACAGGCTCAGGCAGGCCCACACAGCCTCAAGAGACAGTGTAGGGAGTGGAAGCTCCCTGGCAGGAGAGCACCCTCTGTGGCCTGGCTGCTCAGGCTTCTGCAGGAACGGCCCTATAGAGCTGGGGCTGGAATTATTTGAGATAGGGTCTCACACAGTCTAAGCTAGCCTTGAAGTTGCTATGTAATGTAGGATGACCTTGAACTTCTGATCTTCCTCTACCTCATCCAGATGTGGGGATTATAGGCATGTACCATTCCACCCAGTTCATACAGTGCTGGGGAAGGAATCCAGGTCTCATAAATGCTAGACAAGTATTCTACAACTGATCTACATCCCTAGCCAAAATCATAAGGTGATTAAACAGAGAGAATATTATTATTACTATGTGCGTACATGATGTACATATGTATGTGAGCACACATGCCATAGTGCACGTGTGGAAGTCAGAAGACAGCTTTGTAAAATCAGTTCTCTCCCTCCACCTTTATGTGGGTTCTGGGTATCAAACTTGGGTTATGCACCTTTATGTGGGTTCCAGGGATCAAGCTCAGGTCATCAGGCTTGCATAGTGTCTACTCACGGAGCCATCTTGCCAGTCCGACAACTATTTTAAAATTGCTTTTGAAGTCCTAGACTTCACAGCTGTGCATCTTCCAAGCAAGAAACAACAGACCAGTCATGCAGATCTGAAGTGGAACAGGGGCTGGCGGTACAGGCTGTCAATCTTGTTGGAGGACTGCAAGTTAAGGCCAACCCAGGCAACTTTGTTTCAAAATAACAGTTTTAAAAAGCTAAGCGGGGAGGTGGTGCTGGAGATGGCTCAGCAGTTAAGAGCACTGGCTGCATTTTGAGGGAGGACCAGAGTTCAGTTCTCAGCAGTCACATGGTGGCTAACAGCTATCCTTAATTCCAACGCCATCTTCTGGATTCTGCAGGTTTTGGACCCAAAGATGCACTTGTATACATGCAGACAAAACATTCATACACATAAAATAAAAATAAGTAAATAAATAAATAAGAGCTGGGGTGCGGCTAGAGTGGTAGAGTACTGGTCTGACATGGCCCTGGGGTCCATCCTCAGTGTGGCAAAAAAAGATCTGATGGGTTATGGCATTTGTGATCACTGGGCTTACTACCTTTCCTCTCCCACCCCTAATCTTTTTCTATGTGTCCCCCAAGTCAGCTATACACAAAGTCTACTCACAGCTGTTTTCCAGGGTTGAGGGATCCCCGGTCTAACTCTCTGTCAAACTCAGTGCGGATGTCTTCCAGGGAACCGTCATCCCCGAAGGCCCCCCATTCTGTGTTGATGCACATCCTCCCCTCATCACCTTCCACCAGGTCAATATGTCTCAGTTCCTCCATATAGCAAGCGTTGGTGCCAGTGCCTGGGATAAACAAGGAAGGAAGCTGGCACTACACAAGAGGAGGAGGGTGCCTGATGGGAACATGGGCTGAGTGAGGTGCAGGGCTTGGGGCGGGGGGGCACCTTACCAATGATCAGGCCCACTTCACACTGCTGGTCATCATAACCACAAGTCATCATGGTCCCCACTGTATCATTTACCACAGCTACAATGTTGGCATCATAGTCCTGGGGCCCAAGAAGAAAGAAGGTGTCACCGTCTGCTCCTATAGGGAGCTCAATTTTAGAGACAACTGGCAGGGACGCTCCACTCTCACAATGCCACTGCACTGGTGGTGGTGCTGGCTTCATCACTGCCAGGACTTAAAGTAATTGGATTAGAGAGCAGTGATTACATTATGGAAACTACACAGTCCCCTTAATTATCCAGCTTAGGATTCTTTGGGGAGTGGATTTTATTCTTCTGCAGATCTGGAGACTCCCATGCACATGCACATGGGAAAGCAGCTCCTCTGTGTGTGCTCTAACCCTGCACTGTGACCAGTAGCCAGCACTTCTGCCAAGCTCTCCACAGGCTAGGTGCCTTTAAGCTGCACTTCTGAGAGCTCACAGCTGAACCACTCCCCCGGCTGGGGCCCTTGCCTCTCCCCTATAAGGGAATTCAGACCACAGCACTACTGTCCCCCAGAGTAAGTGTTTTTTCCATCCTGCACAACACAAGAGCAATTACCCCTCGCTTCTTGATGGATTTATTCAGGAGCTTGACCACATCGGCCCCTTCCACACCGCTGGCTTTGAACCGCTTTGTCCATGTGATCAGAACAGCCTGCAGAGAAGAGGGGACAAGGAGAATGAGGGCCTCCCAAGGCTGGGGGCTGCTCCAGCACAGAGATGGAGCCAGATCTGCCCATTACTTGTCTATCCACCCAATAGATTTCTTTGGGAGAAACCTAGGGAGGAAAAACAAACAGGGTTGTAATCTCTGGCTTGTCGAATTCACCAAAAGGCCAACCAGTCCAGGAGTGCCACGCAACACACAAACCCAGATGGCGTCAGATCCCATTCAAAAAGAAAGCAATGGGATTGGAAAGACAGTTCAGCAGTTAAGAGCATTTGCTGCTCTGGTAGAGTACCAAGTTTGGTTCCTAGCTTCCACATGGCAGCACACAATTGCTTATAACTCCAGTTCTAGTTCTAACACCCTCTTCTGGCCTCTGTGGGCACTTGTACACATGGCCCCCGCAACAAAGTATAATAAAAAATTCATCAAAAAAAGAGTAAAAGAAACAAGCTGGAGCTGACTGGCCACCTCCTCAACTTCCCAGCCAGGCCTCCACACCCACAGCCCCCAGGTAAGCAAGTCACAACTAAGTGGAAAGAAAAACAAAATATTAAGAGAACTCTTGGTGGCAGAGCTCAAGCCAGAGCTGAAGTCTCAAAGGGATAATGTTGACTAACATGATCTGTGCTTTGGGGGAACTTAAAATCCCATTTGTAATCCCAGTACTTGGGAGGGAGAAGCAGGCAGACCTCGTGAGTTTGAGGCCAGCTTGGCCTACATAGTGAGTTCCAGATAAGCCAGGGCTTCATAGTAAGACCCTGTCTCATAAAAACAAACAAACAAACAACAAACAAACAAACAAACTGCATTTGTAAGTGGTGTGCCTAGTAATTGTATAGTACAAGTCCATTTCTGTTGGCATCTTAATGCAGAAACATTAAGTAGGGGACATCCAAGGACCAGTCACCTGGGGACACGCAGGACTAGGAATTTCACCTTTTGTATTATGTTGTGTATTATTTCAATAGTTTTACACATTGCTTTTTTAAAAATCAAAGACACTAAAAAAACTGTTCTACTTGGCTGCTTTTCTGTGACTGGGGAAAGCTGCTATAGAAGCATGAGGACAGGATGATGACGGAGATGAGGCCCCTGCTCTCATGCACCCTCACTCTGAGAGCCCCGCAGAGTGCAGGCTGCATGGGGGTGCAAGCTCTTCAGTGAGTTTCTGATTCTTCACTCAGGACCAACTACAACCAAGCCCAGCATTGCAAATGGCCATGGACTCTGCGTTCTCCCCCTTGGCCTCCACCGAAAGAAACACAGGGGTTGCAGGAAGAACATGGACGTCTGGAGACCAGGCCCTTTCTCCAAGCTCTGCCCACTTCCTGGTGGGCTGCTGCCTCCTAGACATATACATTATACATCTAGAATAACAGAGCTGGTCTAGATTTGGACAATCATGGAGGTCTCGGTCTTGGACCCCTCCAAAGATGGAAGTCAGGGCCAGAAGGCAAGCCCCATCTTTGGCTCCTCTGCCCCCATCCCCCCTCCAGACACATCTGCTTCATCTTGCAGATTCTTGTGCCCAGGATATTCCCTCCTGCTTCTTCCACACTTTCCTCCCTGGAAGACTGCCTTCTGCCATATCCCCTGGCCCTTCTCTCTCAAGACCTGGCCCAGAGCCTATTAAACACTTAGTTATCACATTGGTCACTCAGTAGACATCTTGGTTATTAGATCAACTGCCAAGTATCACAAAGCAATTTGACTTAGGAGACAGGGTCTCACGTATCCCACTTTGGTTTTGAACTTGCTGTGTAGCCCAGGATAACCTTGAGTCTTGATCCTCCTGCCTCTGTCTCTCAAGTGCTGGGATTACAGACACATACATTACACCTTGTTTATGTGGTGCTGGGTTTTTATGCATGCTAGCATGAAACAGCAACACCTGCAGCCCAGCAATTGGTATTTGGAAAGTACAGTCATACCATTTTTATTATAGTATATTGTTTGACTTTTTTTTTTTTTTTTGGAGACAGGGTCTCCCTTTAGTCATAGCTGGCCAGGAACTTGCTATGTAGATCAGCCTGGCCTCATTCTCACAGAGATCTGCTTGCCTCTAACTCCCAAGTGCTGGCATTAAAGGCCTACTCCACCATCCCTGGCAATAGTATATTCTTTGAACTGTTCCATTTTGGTATTAGTTATGGTAATTAATCTCTTACTGTACCTAATTTAAAATAAATCTTTGGGTCTGAAGAGATAGCTCAGCAGTTAAGAGCACTGGCTGCTCTTGCTGAGGACCCGAGTTTGGTTCACACCACCCACAAAGCGGCTAACAACCATCTGTAACTCAGTTAAAGGGGATCCAATGCTCTCTTCTGACCTCCACAGGCATTGTACATGGGTGTACTTACATACACAGTCAACATATTCATACACATAAAATAAAATAAAAATTAAAAAACCACAAGACTTTATCTTAGGCATGTATGTATAGGAAAAAAACAAACAAACCATACATATCCATAGTTAGAACTATCTACAGGTTCAGGCATTGCCCAGGGCCTTGGAACAATTTTCCCATGCTACCATACGCTCATTAAAAGCTTTGAGAAAGTGCTGGGAGAGGCACTCTGGAGGCTCAACTGATCTGAACACCTTGGAGGTGTAGAACTGTCAGATACCTGCTAGATGCTAGGAGACCCCAGAAATCCTAGACGGAGACAAGATGAGAATAACTCAGAGGCATTCAAAGGGAGGACACGAAACGCAAGCTGGGACCCAGGACTGTGCTCCTGGATCTGTGATGAATAATCTGTCACCTCATAGAGGCTTCTGTTCTCCATCCTAAAATGAGGGGCTTGACCTACTGGGCTCTGCAACTCCTTCTGCTGATTCCACATACCATACAAACATACAGGCTCTAGAATCAGGAAGCAGTGCCCGCAGATAGGGGCACGGACCCCATCAATAAAGGGGGGAGTGCTGCAAGTGCACAGGCACCCAGTACCCAAACATGGTATGAAGTAGACTAGTGTGATTAGCACAGTAACTGCCCTTCCCTGGCCCGCAGCCTGCCTCTGTTTCCCTCTTGGTAAATGGGAATCAGAAGCACTGAACTCATAAAGGTGTCAGATTAAATGTGTTAATTGGGAAATGCATATTAAAACAGAACCTGGGGCCTGCCACATCCTTAACAATGTTAACCGTCAGTCAGTTAACAGTATATTCACAGGTGAGTGTGTGTGTGTGTGTGTGTGTGTGTATGTTCTTTGTATCTCTGAATGTTATCAGGTGGTACACACCTTTAATCTCAGCACTCAGGAGGCAGAGGTGGGTGGATCTCTGTGAGACTGAGGCCAGCCTGGTGTCCATAGTGAGTTCCAGGCCAGCTGTGGCTACAGGGAGACCCTGTATCAAAAAGACAGAAAAAAAAGAGAATGCTATCATATGGTAGATCTGGGCACATCCTTGCCAAACAGATGCATGAATGAACAATTGACAAAATAAGACAGTGTGCCAAGTCGGTGAAAGAGGTCAACAAGAGAACCAAGGGCTTCTCTTGGGGTTGGAGCCACTCTCCAGCAGAGGCTGTGCAGAAGATGGCCCTGGCACTTGAGGAAGAGACCCTGCCCAGACTCACATTCACCAGGAGGCTTCCAGGTAAACACTGCAACTCTAAAATGTTCCCACTTCTCTCCAAGGCCTAATTTGTTTCTCTTCACTTCCTGAGCTTCATAAGACCCTCTACCTGGTGTCTACAAGTACCATAATTGGTCTTCAAAATACACCAGCAACTAAAATAACTGAAAAAAAAAACAAAAACAGGATGGAAATGTAGCTCAGCTGGTAGAATGCTTGCCTAGCATGGACTAAGCTCTGGGTTCAATCCCTAGCACCGTACAAACCAAGCGCAGTGGCACAGGCCTATAATCCCAGCATTCTGAAGGTAAAGACAGGAGGATCAGAAGTTCAAGGTTATCCTTGACTACTATACAGAGGGCAGTCTGGGATGCATGAGACCTTGCCTTGAAAGAGGGAGAAAGGAAGAAGCTGGGGCAGGGGGAGGAAGAGGAGGAGAAGAAGGAGGTAAACAAGGAGGGGGGAGGAAGAGGAGGAAGAAGAGGGGGGAGACACAACACCATGACCTCACAATGATTTTGGCAAATAATTCTAAAACTATTAGACACATAGGTCATCCCATAAGCAAAAGGAAAAGTGAAGAAAGTGATGAACCATCTACAGAACTCAGTCACCCCAAACATCCTACCTCATCTATTTTGGATTGTCGGCAGGGGAAAGAAAATGTGAACCCCACAGGCAACTTCTTGTCCTTGATCTTCCTTTTCTCCATGAAGTCTCCCAGGCACTCAGCGACATGATCAAAAAGCTGGTGGGCACAAGAGAGAACAGTCAGTGGGAGAAAGGGAACGCTGTGTTGGGGTTGCCTGGAAAGCCAGGCTATATGTTTGAGGAAATGTCTGTGGGTCAGCATAGCTCTCAGAGAGCACCTCCAACCCTCCGAAGGGCTGGCCTCTCAGCAATGAGCCACATGTTGTCCAGGCACTGAGGAAAACTTAGAAACAATAGAGAATCAGCATTCTTCCATGACAAGCTGGCCACGGGTTTCCATCAGCTGCGTACGTGGAGTAGCCTTCTACCCCTTCCCAGGCTGGTCTCTATAAATCCCAGGACCTGCAGGGCAACCCACAGCTGCTGACACACTGCAGTGCCAAACAGTCTTCAAAAGACCATGTTTTGCTTTTTATTGAATGATTTATGCATACCCTCTATGTGCATGTCTGTATCCTAAGTGTGGCAGTCACAGGGTTCTCACATGTTGCACCCATGTCAAGAAATACAAGCTGGGCTGGGGGTGTGGCTCAGTGGCAGGGCACTTACCTGGGCACAAGTCTCTGTTTGCTCTTTAGCACCAAAACCCAAAGAAATATAATGCTATGAAAATCCAGATGCCAAACTTGTATGTGCCTCGTGCCTGGAATCCTGGCACTTAGGAGGCTGAGACAGGAGGTTAGCAGCTAATTCAAAGCCAGTCTGGGTGACAGAGTAACAGCAATAAACCCAGATGCCATTCTCATGGCCTTGGGGTCACTACCACTTGCCTCCCTGATTTCTAATGCTCTTGCTCAGTTTTGACAGTTTGTCTTCTTTGTATATAAATGAAATGGTGCAGGGCTTGCTTTTGGGTGTTTGTTCTGAGTCATCCATGTATCTTTAAGGACTGTCTCTGTGTGCATCAGAGTACTACTGTGAATATACCATGTTAGATACATCTATTTACATACTGCATTGCCATGTAAGCCTGCCTGTTCTGAGTCATAGGTATACACCCATGGTAGGAATCCACTAGAAAGAAGCCTGGTCTTGTATATACACTGTCAACAGTAGCAAGTCCTTGGAAACACAGTCACAGAATTTCTTAGAGCCCAGAAGACAGTGTTCAATGAGATAAACCACAGTCACCCTGACCCAGCATTAGAGCTGGACCTGACTCACTGCTGGGGTAAAGGGACACCTAGTCCGTCTTGATTTGGGAATCTCTTTTCTTGAGTCACTATTACTCAGGCTATGGCTGCAGCAGCAGATCTGACTGAAGAGACATGTGACCTTCCTCCCTGGAGAAGCCATGCTAAGCTGCCTGGGACCTATTTCAGACTGCTATAAACCCATTTCTAAGTCAGTCCTTGAGCCCCACGCCATCAGCACCAGGAGCTCCAGGCACCCCTGGCTGCAAGTGAGCAGAGGAAGGAAGGCTGTGTAGAAAAGGCAGGGGCTAGGGCCTGGGAATAGCTTGCTGTGGCAATGGAGTCATACTAAGTCCCCATACCCAGTACCCAAATCCAAGCCAAGTACATCTTCCCAGAGCAGCTGAGAAGGCCAAGCTGAGCTGGGTATTGGTATATACCTATGATCCTGGTCTCCAGAGGCTGAGGAAGGAAGATCCAGAGGTCAAGGCCAGCCTGGGCTACAGTGAGTTCAGGCCAGCCTAAGCATCTTAGTGAGACCCTGTCTTCAAAACTAAAAAGTAAGAAATGGTCTGGGGATGTAGCTCAATGGTAGAGCACTTTTCTTGCATTTCCATGGTCCAAGATTTGAGCCCTAGGACCCACCCACCCCCGACACACACACACACAAAAGAAAAATAACTAAGAATGAATCACATTAATTTCTTCTTTCATGACAACTGGCTCAGTGGTGGTGCACGCCTTTAACCCCAGCACTTGGGAGGCAGAGGCAGGCAGATCTCTGTGAATTCAAGGCCAGCCTGGTCTACATAGTGAGTCCAAGAAAGCTGGGGCTACAGGGAGACCCTGTCTCAAAAAGACAAAAAAAAAAAACCAAAAACAAAACAAAAAAAAACCCTTAAATATTACTCATAATTCTTAGAACTATGTCAAGTAATGAAAGAAGGCCTCTTGACCACTAAGCCACCATCTAGCCCCTTAAATAATGTTCCAACAACACTGCATTTATGCTTTTGAAATCATGAAGCTTAAAACAGCACTGAGACTTTGGGTATGATGCTATAGGTATGAATATGTGTGTGTGTGTGTGTGTGTGTGTGTGTGTGTGTGTGTGTGTGGAGAGAGAGAGAGAATACAAGTTCCTGTACTCATCTCTGTTAAGTTTGACAGTGTTTTCAAATGAAAGGTTTAAAATCTATTTGAAAACACTCACACATCACAGAGGATGAGACTACTTCATGATCCTGACCCCAAGACTTCCCCACTGCTCACAGTCTATGGGCTTGAGCAGCTCCATGGGTAACATGAGACCTGGGTCACAGAGGACTCCACGGAGCAGTTCAGTCAGAGATCTTAGGAGATGGGTCACCCAATACCTGCTAACATACACCAGACTGCCGTGGGAGAGGTTCCGGCTTCACCAGGGTCCATCTTTCAAGCCTGTCACCTTCGCTCCCTGGTCTAAGTCCCTGCCCACAGCCACCACATCACACTGCACTCTCTCACCATCAAATATCCAAGAAAGAAACTGGGGCTGGTGATGCATGCCTTTAATCCCAGCAGAGGCAGGTGGATCTTTCCTGAGTTCAAAGCTAGCCTGGTCTATACAGTAAGTTCTAAACCAGCCAGTACTATATAGTAAGAGCCTGTCTTAAAAAGAAAAATTTTTAAAAAGAAAGAAAACAAAGATAAATAGAAAACTTTGTCTTAAGATTCTGAATAGTTGAAGTCATAACTATAGTCAAGAGTGAGACCCCTAGGTTGAACTCTGAATCCGAACAGCTTTTAACAGTTGAGCTTTGATTCCCCCCCACCTGTAAGATGAAAATAATAATACCTATCCCACAGGGTTGTTGTGATGATTAAATGAGTTAATATGTACCAAGTGCTCGCATACCAGGGACTTGCATATAAAAACATGATACTAGTATGTGTTATAATAAGACACCACATCACCATCATCATCATCTTTTTATACTACTTAGAAGACAAAGGAAGAAATAAGACAGTAGGAAACAAAGTATTCCTGGGTCTAAGAAGGGAAGACGTGGAAGCGGCTGGAAGATGGGGACAGTGGCAAGAGGAACTTGCTGTGAACGTGAATGTGAAAAGGTACATGGGGGTGGGGACACCCAGCCCCAACTGGCTGCAGAATTCCTCCCCCCCATGGGTCCTTTAGGACTGACAGACTTTTACAACAAACCTCCAAACATCCTGCCAAGGCTCAGGACAACAGGGCTCAGAAGTCTGGTCCCTGCAGGTATCTCAAGGGACGGTGGCCCAAGGGGACCAAACTGAAGAGAACACGGGCCCACCTGGCTTCCGCTGCCATGCACGATGTTCTCTGGGGTCTCGTAGGCCTCCGACTCCATGTTGACATTCTGGTTTTTCTCATGATTCACTTGTACCCTCAGGATTCGAAAGGAAGACCCGCCAAGATCCAGGGCAATGAAATCCCCCTTTTCTGTTGAGGAAGATAACAGGTATATTAGATTCAAGCATGAGAAATCTGTGACCATATTCGCTCTCTGGGTCCGGCCCTATCTGCCTCTCCCACCACCACCACACTGTACTGTCAGCAGAAGGAACTGTGCTACCCTTGTGTGGCCCTGCCCTAGTAACCCCAGCCTCTCCTTTCAAACTGCAGAGGAGGGAAGTGTTGACGAAGTACAAAGCTCCATCACACCTTCCTCTAATTTCTTACCCTTTTTAAAAACAACACTGCTGGGGCTGGAGAGATGGCTCAGTGGTTAAAAGCACTGGCTGCTCTTGCAAAGGACCTAGATTTGAGTCCCAGCACCCACATGGAGGCTAACAACCTCCATAACTCTAGTTCCAGGGGATCCCACACCATCTTCTACCTCCAAGAGCAGTGCACGACATGGGTGCACTTACACACAGGCAGGCAATACACTCATACACAAAAAAATAATATTAACAGAGGCAGGCGGATCTCTGTGAGTTCAAGGCCAGCCTGGTCTACATAGTAAGTTCCAGGACACCTGGGGCTACAGAGAGAATCTGTCTCAAAAAGTCCAAAATAATGATAATGATAATAATAATAATAATATATTTTTTAAAAGTTACCCATAAATAAAGATCTCACAACATTGGAGAGACCAACTCCAAAACCAACTGTTATTTTGGGGTCTATCACTATGTAGTCCCCACTGGCCTGTAACTTACTATGTGGACCAGGCTGGCCTTGACCTCAGAGCTCCATCTTTTTCTGTCTCCCGAGTGCTGGGATTAAAGTTATGTACTACCACACCCGGCTTGGTTTTTGTTCTTTAAGACATAGTCTCACATAACCCAGGCTGATCTCAAAATCACTACACAGTCGAAGATCACTACACAATCAAAGATGACCTCAATCTCCTGATCCTCCTACCTTAGCCTCCCAATGGCTGGGATTACAGATGTGTGCCACCACACCCAGCTCACCCAGCATTTCAGCTCAGAGAAAACCCTACACCTGCCATCCATCCCATGCCCTGGGTTCCTTCCATGTCGGCTCAGATGCCAATCACTGCTCTTCCACAACTCCACTTCCTCCTGGGGTTGGTTTTCCATTGGTATTGTAAAAAATAAACAACATACGATTTACTGCTGGAAACATTTAAGTGCATAGTTCAGTCATTAAGGACATTCATAATTGTTAAGCAACCCTCATTATTACCTATTTCCAAAACTTTTTTATCACTCCAACAGAAACTCAGTAACCATTAAGCAGTAACTCCCTGTCCCACCCACTCCTGGTAACCTCTACTCTACCATCTCCTTAGATTGTCCTGGATATGTCATGTACATGCAACTGGGCACAAATTGTCTTTATGTATGTGTGATTGCCATTTCATTCAACATGTCTCCAAAGTTCATCCATGATGCAGCCCGTGTCATTAGGCCAGGGGGTGACAGCCACCCCTGCCTCCCCAAGTTACAGTAATTCTCAATCCCATGGCTGTAAATATCAGATTTCTTGGGGTACCTCATTATCCAAAAAAAAGCCAGACATGGTAGCATGCACCTGTAATTCCAGCACTTGGGAGGTGGAGACATGCCAGTGGATCGCTTGGGCTTGCTGGCCAACTAGCCTAGTCTACTTGGCAAGCTCCACGTCAATGAGAGGTCCTGTCTCTAAAAACAAAGTAGATGCCCTCCTGAGGAATGACAGCTGAAGCTGACCTATGTCCTACACACACACACACACACACACACACACACACACACACACAAAAGTACACATGCATCCACATGAATACTGTCCTGGTTTGTTCTTCATTGCTGTGACAAAACACTCTGACCAGTACCAACTTAGGGAGGAAAGGGTTTATTTGTCTTACAATCTCCCAGGTCGCACGCAGTTCATCAGGGAGCCCAAGGTAGGAAACTCAGGGCAGGAACTTGGAGGCAGGAGCTGGAGCACAGGCCATGGAGGAACGCTGCTTACAGGCTTGCTCCTTTGGCCCCTGCTCAGCCTGCTTTCTTATGCAACACAGGCCCACGTGCCCAGGGGTGGCACCACCCACAGTGGGCTGGGCCTCCCCACATCACTCATCAAGAAGATGCCCTTCAGACATGGCCACAGCCCAGTCCAATAGAGGCAATTTCCCAATTGAGGCTCCCTCAACCCAGGTGTGTCAAGTTGACACTAAAGCTATCCAGCACAAATACCCACATGAATATGCACCCCCCGACACACACACATACCGACAACAGTAACAGGACCAGCAAGATGGCTAATGGATAAAAGTGCTTGCCTCAAAAAACCTCATGATCTGAGCTCAGTCCCCAGAACCCATGTAAAGGTGGAAGGAATATGGCTGGAGAGATGGTTAAGCAGCTTAAGAGAATTTGCTGCTTTTCCAGTGGACCTGAGTTCAGCTCCCAGTATCCATATCAGGCAGTTCACAACAGCTTTAACTCCAGTTCCAGGGGATCTGATGCCCTCTCTGGCTTCCAGAGACACTGTACTCATTCACACAAATAAACCCACACAGAGGCACATAATTAAAAATTTTAAAGAAAATGTTCTTTTTATTTTATCTTACATGATGACTGCTTTGCCTGCATGTATGTAAGTGAACCTGTGTCGAACGAAGCCTGCAGAGGCCAGAAAAGGGCATTGAATCCTCTGGAACTGGAGTTACAGGTGGCTGTTAACTGCCATGTGGGTGCTGGGAATTAAACCCGGGTTCTCTGGAAGATCAGCCAGTGCTCTTAACCACTGAGCCATCTCTCTAGCCCCTAAAACCTCTTTCTTAAAGGAGGGAGAGAATCAATTCCACAAAGGTATAGTCTTTCTTTGGAACAGTGCCTTCCTGTAGCCCCACGTGATCTGAAAGTAGCTATATAGATCAGGATGGCCTTGAACTCACAGAAATCTATCTGCCTCTGCCTCCAAGTGCTGGGATAAAGGTGTGTGCCACCATGCCCAGCTCACAAGGGTGTTATGAGTTCTACATGCACACCAGGCCATACACACGCCCCCAAATACACACAATACACACAATAATAAATTAAACTTCTAAAAATTCAAAATAGTAATACTAACAACAAATAAGGCACAGAAGGTTTTCAACTTGTTTTTGTTTGTTTTGTGGTGCTGGGGTGGGTTGGGTTGTGGAATCCAGCACTTCACACACACTGGGCACATGCTCTATCAAAAGTTTTTAATTCTGATGAAGTCTCATTTATCTTTTTTCAGTTTTGTTTTGGGTATTGTGCACAAGAATCCATGGCCAAACCCAAGGTCACAAAGCTTCACATCTGTTTTTTATGAGGCATTTTATAGTTCCTTTGATCTATTTGGAGTTAATTTTTTTGTATATGGTATGAGGTAAGGGTCCAACTTCATTCTCTGGCTTTTCAGGGTCCTGGCCCCAATGGCTGAAAAGGCTACCAAAGTCCTGGTACCCTTGCCAAAAACCAGTTGACCACAGAATTATGAGTTTCTTTCTTTCTTTCTTTCTCTTTCTTTCTTTCTTTCTTTCTTTCTTTCTTTCTTTCTTTCTTTCTTTCTTTCTTCTTTCTTCTTTCTTTTTTCGGAGCCAGGGACTGAACCCAGGGCCTTGAGCTTCCTAGGCAAGCGCTCTACCACTGAGCTTACCCCAACCCCCTTTCTTCATTTTTAATGTATGTGTATGAGGGTGTTGCCTGCATAGATGTAAGGGCACCCATGCATTCAGTGCTCATGGAGGCAAGAAGAGGGATCAGATCCTATAGAACTGGAGTTACGGATGGTTGTTAGTCATCATGTGGATTCTGGAAACTGAACCCAAGTCCTCTGCAGGAGCAGCCAGTGCTCTTAATACTGAACTACCTTTCCAGTTCCTCATTTAACTTCTTTCCCTCACTCCCACTGGGCTGTTCCAAATCCTTCCTTCTCTAGTGCCCAGTTCTTCTTTCTTCTTTCTCTTTCTTTTTTTTTTTTGAAACAGGGTCTCCCTATATCCCTAGCTGGCCTGGAACTCACTGTGTAGACCAGGCTGGCCTTCAACTCATAGAGCTCCACCTGCCTCTGCCTCCAAGTATTGGGACTACTGATGTGTGCGACCACACTCGGCTTGTGAATTTGTTTCTTCTTAACTCTCAGTTTGGTTCCACTGATCAATCTACTTGTCTCTCCAGGACCATACAGTCCTGGTTACTGCTATCTGTGGTAAATCTCCTGCCCTGTTCGATCCTAAGATGGCTATTCTGGGTCTCTTGGACTTTATTTTTATTTTTGAAGAATGTTTTTTGTTTCTTCCCCCCCAAAGTATTCTCTTTTATAGCCAATACATACTTACATGGGATTCCCCATGAACTGAACGATAGCATAGGAAATTTTCAGTTGTCAGCCAGGACTCATTTGCAGGAGGTTCTGTGTCAATTAGGTTCCAAGTGCTGATGCCTGGGAACTCAGCTAACAGCATCATGCCCACACAAAACAGCTTTGTGCCTTGTCTAGAAAGGGCTGGTAGTCAGACTGCACCTCTGGGGGCTCACACACAAGTCAGCAGCGTCCCAGGGAGATCAAGTCAGAGCAGAAAGGGTAGTCATGACATGCCAGGACAAAGCTAAAAAACCAAACGCTCTGGACAACTGGGAATGAGGTGACAGATTTGAGAGGGGCCTGGCAGGTGGCTGCTGAGGGCTGTGACAAGGGACCTCTATAGGGTCTGAATCCTCCCTCGTTGCATTGACCCTGGCTCCATCTGAAGGTGTGTTTTGTAAAGCTTACTGAGAAAAAGGGTGGCCACACCTATTTTCACTTTTACAGCTCAGGAAATGCTGGAAAAATATTAACTCAACACTCTGGTTTATGGATAAGGAAGCTATAACCAAACTGGTCCCAACTGTGGCCAGGGGGACCCCTCCCTCCTCTCAGACTGCAAACTATAATGCTCATAGTTTTCTTTTATATCTGCAGGTCTTATCTTCCTCAATTGATGATAAGCAAGTTGGAGGCAAGGGTGATCT